CCGCATTGTTCAAGGGTCAACTTTAAAAATAGATCATATTTTTTAAAATAATAAATACTGAAAAGTCATCACTTCCTAATTATTTTACTACATTTTATTATTGTCTATACTCGAGTTCTTTCTGTCTACTGTATCCCTATGGTAAAATATTATATAATGGTGTGCTACTGTTCATCTCTGCTCAACTCCGCATTCAGAGATATCACATTGGGAACTCAAGTCAGCCATAGTGGGGATAGTTACACCATGGAATTGGCAAACACTACAAATCAGGACTTGATTTATTGCTTTGTTAATTGTCTAGACTTCAGAAACCAGTGGGGAATATGTTAATAAGGTAGATTAAATTTAAATGTGTGTCATGTCTGCAGCCATTACATTTTAAAGAACACAAATGAAGAAATATTCTTCCAGCATTTGAAAACTATTCTCCAATTCAGCAAAGAAGGAGCTCATGTCAATGACAATCAGAGGAGTTCTGACATGTGTCTTCATTGTTTCATTTTCATCCCACTTAATGTAAACAGAAGTATCAACCAACATTTATGTAAGAATTATACTCATTGATGATTGCAACCATAGTTTGGCTACACATATAAGAGTTGGACAAAAATCATTGAAATATTCTGTGAGGATCAATTGGTTATTTGAAACTTACAATAAGGAGTATTGTATATTTTATTATTTGCAAATTATGTGCTATACAACCTCTATATCCTGAAAATGTATAATAAACAAAAACATACATGCAAACTTTTTTTCTCCAGAGAGCTGATTGCTCAATATTTAACAGCACATCACTGGTGGAGATCATGTGTGGTATGATAATGGGAGTAAAATATTGTATGCTTTTCTTTGTAAATATGAACTAGATTGTACTCTCTCTGAGAGTTAATGCCTATCTTGAGACATATGCATGTGTGTCTGATTCAGTGGCCAGGAAGGATTGTTACTTTGTTTTACTCTTTACCTCACCCAAACTTGGAAAGATCTAGACTACTCTGGACCCCTGCAGAATCCTCCCTTCACTTCCCACCCAAAGATAGTATTAGTGAGCCTAAATGACTCCTGTTTGGGAAAATGGGCCATGAAGGATTACTATGCTGGCAGAGGAGTGAAGGTATTAGAGACTTACCCCTTGGAAGCTTGAAGAACATGCAGCTCCTGAAAGGGACCTGAACACAGGGAGGAAGGCCAGAAACTGGGTGTGTCCATCAGGTGACTCCCCCTGAGGACTGAACCTGGAGTGGTAGCAGAGTGTTACCACTGAGGGTGGCTTGCCTCACTTTTGAAATCACATCCTATTTTAGGATGTGATTGGGCTCCTGACTGGGCCAGGAGCTTCCGGAGCAAAGTGTGGTGGAGAGGTGGGCATGAGGTCCTCACAACTCACTGAGTCCAGACAGATGGGAAAGCTACCCTTTTCCCAAAAAACACTTCAAATGGGAGAAATGCTGGTTTGTAGAGAAGTTGAAAGGAGCCTGATACTGGGTTATAGAAGTTTGTAGAGAAGCTGAAGGGAGACATTTAGATGAAGTAGAGAAAGGGAAGTTCAGTCCAAAAATGTGGTTGTGGGTTGTTAGATCAAGATCAGCTGTGGTTGTGTGGGGGTGTTGCCCAAGAAAAGAGGCAGGACAGAATGAAAACAAAAGCAGTTATTTGGGGTCTTAGAATTTCAAATTCCAGGTACACAGATTTGGGCACCAACCCAAATATTTTCTCCCTAGGGAACGAAGCTCTGGGGTTTTTAAAGACAAAAGTGAAGGGTTGTATATGTTGTTTACAAAGAATTTTGATTGGTGTTGGCAGCAGAAAACTAATCTTGGTTAAACCTAACTGGTTGCTAAGGTCATCTCTGAGCAGAAGTCAGTTATGTAGGAACTTGTAGGTGTTTATGCAGAGTCCTTGGAGTGTTTGCTGTATGGCTTAGTTCGGAAGTTCATGGTACCACCTAGTGAGGATGTGCATAAGGCCCACCTCCTTAATGGCCTCCCAGCTCTATTTAAAAACCCCTGACGTAAATGACTCCATTTCATTTCATCTTTCACAGGTGGACATGGCCACTTCCCAGGCCCTGAGAGGATATTTGCTTCATTGGAAGGAAATGTGCTTCAGGAGGTAGACACCCGTTGGAGATGAGAATTGAGAGAGAATAAGCACACAGTGGGAGGGGGTAGGGTACAAAGTGAATAGGGACAAACCCATTTAGGAGAGAAGACAAGTACTCAAGTACTTCAGGGGCTGATGATGACTAGCAATTTGCTTTTTCTAGAACTTTCTTTGTTTGGTTTTTAAGACCTGCCATCCTGATCCTCTGATAACTCCTTCCCAGTCCACCCAGGGTTGAAGAACAGGCTTTGAGTCTGAGCAGCTCTCGGACATTGCCGATAATTAAGTAAATTCTTGAAAGAAATACAGAAATGGCCAGATAAAACTTCCACTATAAATAAATGATTTCCAATTCCCTCTATTTCTTGGAAAATGATAATGTGAGGAAAAAGATAAACTGCTCAGTTCTGGAATCCCAAACTCTGGGGAAAGGAGGGGGTTGATATTAGTTGTAGCTTGGGGTGAGACACCCTGGGGCAAAGGGTCACCACTGTGTGGCTGAGAGCTATGGCTGGCCCTTCCGTGTCCTCCCCGCCTCCCCTGATAGCGTGCAGGGTGGTTGGGACTGGGTGATGCGCGCCACCTGCAGGCAGAAAGCTGGCGTCAGGGAGAAATACCCGAGTATTGTTCAGCCTGTTACTGGGCAGGAATAAAAGTCCAGGCAGTAACCTGTCTTTGGCCCAGCTTTGGGTCTCTTAGAAGACGACATGGAAGGTCCAGTCCTGCAGGGGCAAGCAGCTCTAATTTAGGCTGTGTCTGAGACCTCACCACCTCCTTCACAGTGCAAACAGAAGCCGCCGTGGAGAAGTCCCACGGCTCCCCATCAGCAGTCATTCAGAATCACCTACTTCTGTTCTCCATCTCCGCCTCGCTTCTGGTGCAGTGGGAAAAGCGTTCCCTCCCTATGGCTACTGCCTCCAGAATGCCCTCCCACCTCCTCCTACAACCGGTATCTTCCACCTGCCCTTCACTTTGTTCCACCAGTATTGAAGCATGCCTCAGACTCTTGCATCTTAAAAAATATTTTAAAAGCCAGAAAACAGAAATAACAGCTCCCCAATCCTATCACCCCATACACTGCTGCCTAACTCCTTCTGCCCTTTCACAGTCACGCTTCTGGGAAGAGCTGACTATGCTTGGCTGCCTTTGCTTCCTTGCCTTCCTTTCAGACCTCCATCCACTGCCAGGTCCCTCTCCTCTCTCCTCACTGGAGACAGTGTTTGCGGGGGCCCGCAGTCCAAGGGACCTTGTCTTACATGATATATTGGCAGTGTTTGAATGAAAACCGCTCCTTCCCACTTGAAACACTCTTGTATTACAGGTCAAAGACACATACATTCTAGCCTCTCTCCCACATTTCTGGCCGCACCGCGGTGCTCCTGTCTGGTGGATGCCACTGTTACCTGGCCAGCCCCTCCGACCGTCCATGGATAACCATGGAGTCGTACTTGAGCATCTTTGCTCCCTGTCCACATCTTTCAGCAGGTCCTGCAGCTCTGCCTTCGATACCGACTTGGAATCTCACTCATTCTCAGAAGGTCCTCCTCTGCCAGCACCCTGGTCTCAGCCACTCACTTGGGACACTACGGTAGCCACGTGGCTGACCTCCCTGGCTTTACTCTAGCTACTGCACCGCAGTCAGAGTGATTCCGTACCAGTCAATTACATTATGGAACCCTCCCCCCCTCGTCTCAGCCCTCCAAGATTTTCCTCTGGGTAAGTTAAAGGGAAATCTCACTAAAATGGAGCCGGGAGGCCAGAAGGGAGAGCTCTCATGGCATACCCCTCCACGTCATTCTCAGGAAAAATTGACAATTATCGACCCCCACAGAAGAATCCTCAGTAGGGGAGCTCACCAGTAACAAGCCCCAAGAGGAACTCGCTTACCCTAACTCAGCCAATGAGAAACTGCCATCACCCTGAACTCTTGCTTTTCCCCAATAGACTTGCCTTCAAAACAACCCCTCCCAACTTCCTCCTTCTTGTCCTCAACTTTGTTGGACTAGCTGATCATTTTTGCAGTAGTTTGCTCGTCCGAAATTGCAATTCTCTGCTATTCCCAAAGAAACCCATTTTGCTGGTAAAATAACGGATTTTACTTTTAGCGTCAACATCCGCATCATCTTTAGGCCTCAGGTTACGTGTCACCTCCCCATAAATTCTCCCTGAGCTCCCACACCTGGGCTAGGAGGCCCTCCTAATTTGTTCCAGGAACACCTGTATATTCCCTCCAAGAGCACTTACTCCACCCTGTCCCCACAGCTTCGTGAGCTCAATGAGGGCAGGAACTGTGTTTGCTGAATCTATCCCAGGTGCATGGCACCTAGTAAATATTCCATAAAGAACTGGGAATGTACCACCCCCCCTTCCTATATTTCTGGACATGTAATATTAACAGATCAGGGAACAAAATGCAAAAGAAAAAAAAGCCAGATACAATTCTGATCATTGTTTGGGGCTTATTTGGGGACTTCTTTCTACATTGTAAAGAATCACAGTTTGCCAAGCCATTTTATTTTCTTGTAAAACGTTGCCCTGCAGCAAAAATGAAGTTGTCTTTGTGTTTGTGCGTGGTCAAAGATGTGACTTGAGGGGGCGAGCGGCACAGAGTGCCCGAGCTTAGGGACCCAAGTGCACAAAGGGCGCAGGACCAGTTGCTTGGAGTGGCGATGACCAATCAGCCTTCGTTGTGGGCCAGAGCTGAAGGTGATGAACTGCGGGGGTCGACACACGGACTAGTTCGATCCTGGCACAGCTATTTACAGCCACAGGCAGAAACTAATGTCAGGGGAGGAGTTTTCTGGGAAATGAAACCGAAACCTAAAGGGACAAAGTTTGCCACACTCAGTCGGGGTGGGTCGGACAGCGGGGACAGATGAGCGGAGCTGAGGATGGCTGCGCTCGGCTCCTTCCCCCTGCTGGTCGAAGGGTCCTGGGGCCCCGACCCCCCGAAGAACTTGAGCACCAAGTTGCAGATGTACTTCCAGAGCGCGAGGAGATCCGGAGGCGGGGAGTGTGAGGTCCTCCAGGAACCCGGCACCCCGTCCCGCTTCCTGGTGTTCTTCCATCTAGAGGACGGTGAGAGGTGTAAGGGTGGGCGTGAGAGGGGACAACCGCGGTCTTCCCGCAAGGTAACTAGGAACCGGGGCGCACAGCGGGAGACCCCGCCGGGCTCCGGCAGCAGCCTCAGGGGAGGGAAGGCGCTGGGCCGCAGACCCGACGAAGAATGCGCGAGGGGCGATAAGCGCTCCCAGGTGCTGCCTGGAGGTGGCGGCAGAACCGCGCAAGTGAGTTCTGACGCGAAACTTGGAGCGCGTTGAAACGGAAAGCAGCTGACAGGCTGCTTCACTCACCTCCTTTTACAAGGCGACCTACTGTGTTAGGGGCGGAGTTGCTATTCCATTGCAATGTTTTTCCTTCCTATTAAAGCAGCTGTTCTAGAACTCCAAAGATTGATGGGAGCACAATTTGAAGGGAAGAGAAAATTTCCAGAGAGAGTCACATCTAAACTGATTCCTGAGGGCCAATTCCGTTCCTGACAGGCAGGATATTGGGGAGGACTCTTCCGATGGGAGCACACTGCATGGACAGGTGCTGGGGGCAGGGAAGCACGGGCATCTTCAGGCAACACGCAGAGCGCCCTCAGGGAGGTTTGGGTTGAGTGGTGACTCTATTAATCCCTGTGTACAAGCAAGATCTGCAGACGGGGGCTGAGAAATTTCAGAAGGCTAAGGGGAGGGGGTGCCTATATTTTAAAAATCTTAGGCCTTATGTTATTAAACCTCCTTCTTGTGAAGTGGTGGGGAGGAAATTAAGGCTAAGAGAAAGTTGGGTTGAGATGGTAGAGGACCTTGAATTACCCCGTAAGGACTATGAACTTTCCCCTAGGTAGGCAGAGGAGAGACATGTCAAATTATACTTTAAGGAGATAAATTTGGTTGAAAATAAGTACCTTGACTTCTATTGGGAGAGACCCTGGAAATCACAACTTTTAGGAGATCCATGCAATGTTCTAGGTGAGGACAACTGAGTCCTTGAACCATGAAAATCAGCGTGGGGATGGAAGAGATGTATTCGTGTACTATTCTGGATTTGGTAACTGAGGTCAATGCTCTGAGAGAGAGGGACGGAGAGGGAGAGCCCCCCTTTTCTTCAGTTATTTTTTAGGTGGGGGAAAAAAGGTATTAAAGGAATGTGAGGAGTCAGCGGGATTTTCCTACAGGTCGTGAGATTCCCAGTGTTTCTGGGGTCACTTGGAGGAGGTATGAAAGTGTTGTCTAAAAGCACATTGGGTGTAAATATAGAAAGTTATTGGAGGGCTGCTTGCTGTTTATCAACACACAGAATCTTCGTTGACGGTGCGCTGGTACCTCTTCCCTCGGTTTCAGGGTGGTCCTTGGACTGGGAGCAGGGGTGACATTCTGAGTTTATGTGGGTTGGGAGTTTTGAGCTCCCCCCAACCCCCACCGCAAGCAGTTGAGCAGCTGAGTTCTCCCCCACCCTTGCTGTTAGCTTTAGGAAAGGGAGGATAAGCACCCACCCAATTATTACCTGCTGGGTCAAGAGACCACCAGGTCTGTAGTGAGAGGCCTGTGAGTTGCTGGTTCTGGAGCGTGCGCTTTTTCCTTTGGAATCTCATAGGAAAGGAAGTGGACAAGCCCTGATTCCACCTTCCCATCGCTGGATTTGGAGAAGCATTTGAGCCAGAGGAGAGGCAATGAGGCTTACCTGAGAGGAACTGGCATGCTCTAGGCAGAGATCTGGAAAGAAAGAAATGAAACCCAGAGAGGAGAGGGGTTCCCCAGCGAAGTGTGTATAGGGGGAGGCAGGTCGGGGACAGGAGACCTACTAGGCTCAGAGCCCTTAGGAAAACAAAATACCAAGTTTTCCAAGGCCTCATTTCACCGAGGAATGCTCGGAAGGGCGGCTGTGCAATGTTAAGCCATTTCCCCTGGACTTCATTTTCCTCAAGGAGTTTTACCACTTTGATTGCAACTGTCAACATCATAAGGGCCTGGCCCTTAGGGACACTTACTTCTTTAGAATCCTCTTATCCTCCCGAGTGGTTCTCAAACTGGGGCCATGGGCCTCTGCGTCTGACTCAAAACAGACTAAACAGACCCATTGCCTGCTGCCTCTTAGAGATTTAGGAACTGCAGGGGTGGGTGAGCGGGACTCCGTGGGTTTGACCTGCACTCCGGGAGGCCTGGTGTGCTAAACTCTGGGAAGCCCTGTTGTTTGTTGCCAACCCTGAATGAACAAAAAAGGGAGATGATTAGTAGAAAATACAAACAGCATAAAAATACCAACAGCGCAAAATACACTTTTGTGTCAATAACATCATTCTGTTCTAGCCCTGAACGCAGAAATGGTGGCAGTCTCCCCCACAGGCTTCCTTCCTCTCATCACCCAGCGCACCTCCCCTACCTCTGTCCCCAGGCTGCTCCAGCGGCCCCTCTTGTGGTACCCCCAGCACAGACAACTCCAACTTAGTACAACTCGAAACCTTTCATGGACAAAGGCCCTGGGGGCGGGGGAGAAGGGTGTGTGTGGCAGGAAGTGCCTATTCAGTTTCAGTTTCCTACCAGAGGAGCTATTGCCCCAGTAACAGGTTGTCAGAAATTTGCTAACAATGGTTGACTGCCCCCGCCCCCAGCGGTCCTGGTCCTCCGGCACTGGTTCTTCTGCAGGGATTTCCCCCCCCACCCCCACCCCAGGAAGTGGCCTCACCAGGTGCCGTACACTGTGTAGCACTGCTTTCTTCACATGATTCATGTAGCCAGAATGAGCCCAACAGCACTGCTCTGTAGAAATTAGTGTATAGCTGGGACGCCTGGGTGGCTCAGTCAGTCAAACTTCTGTCTTTGGCTCAGGTCATGATCTCAGGGTCCTGGGATCAAGCCCCACATCAGGCTCCCTGCTCAGTGGGGAGCTTGCTTCTGCCCCTCCCCCTGCTCGTGCTCTCTCTCTTTCTCAAATAAATAAAATCTTTAAAAAAAGAAGAAATTAGTGTATAGCAAACAGAAGTATTTGGAAGCTGTATCTTACTTTTAAATAGTTCACTCAATTTCTGAGAAGTCCAGTGTAAATTGACTTATTAAGCCCTGTTTCAGATGTGTGCATTTATCAGCCTTTCGGGTCATAATTTGGCTTCTGATAATTTTCAGTCTGTTTGGGGTAAGGGAACCCATCTCCTCTTTGAGTAAAATTAAATGTCAGCGGTCTGAGGTTGGTGCAGAAGGGAGACTGTCCACTTGGGGAAGGGTGGCTGGACATCAGGGTTTCAGCTCTTTTTCCTCCCAGATTCCCCTTGTCCTTGTGGCGGGTCACTTACTCCTCTTGCTACTGTCTGCTCTCTCGAAATCCTGGTGCCCTGTGTATTGTGCACTATCTCAGAACAGGCTTTTGCATTTAGATGCCTGGATAAGACTCTCCCAAAGTTTAAGGGATTATAAAAGGAATGCATCACAAAAGCCTACGACACTAGACAACTTGACTTACAAAAATTGGCTTGTTCTCAGGCTTCAGGCTTCAGGGGTCTTATGGGGTCCTCAGCCCTCCCGCTAGCTTAGGACAGCCCCTCAGGAGTCCATGTGAAAACATTTGCTATCTCATAAAGAGTGAAAGTAGAGTCTGGCATTGTTTGTGGGACCCGTTTCTGAGTTGGCGTCCAGTGAATGCCTCACGTCTCCTGCCCTTTCGTGGATGACTGAGGTGGGAAAGCTATTCCAGCTCCTTCTTATGAAAGATTCCCTATATCCTTGGCCTCTCTGCTCATCCACACCGGCATGCAAGATAGTGGCCCAACATTCACGTCAGAGCCACTCCTCTGGGAGGAGTAGGGCACTCTCAAACGTTCCCCTTCACCCTGACCTCTTTGCACCATCTGACATGTTGAGCACGCCTCCTCTAACTGGCTCCTTGCCGGTTCTCCATGGCCTGAGATGCGCTGATTTTCCTTTTCTCTCTCTGGCTGCTCCGGCTTATAATTATAAACTTACGCTTGCATAGCTCTTGTGGGTGTTACAAAATTCATTCACAGACACGGTTTTAAGGGAGGACACAGACTCAAGAAGTTAAGATATTTTCTCAATGTCACGCATATCGTTTTTGGCAGAGTTGGAATTTAAATCCAAGTCTTTGGACTCTTGTGTTCACTGTTCAGTTTTTTCACTACAACCCAGCTGTCTGCTGTGCTAATTCTTTTTTTTTTTTTTTAATTTCTCCCATTCCTTCTTTTCTACTCCTTTTACTATTGGATGTGAGGCTCTTATCATCACAGGTTAAGGAACTAAATGAAATAGCTTTTTCAGTAGGCTCCTGGCCATTGTGCTCTTGGTCACTCAAATTGCCTTCCTAAAACACAGCTTTCATCAGGCCGCATCCCGGCACCCAGTCTTCACTGAGTTCACCATGAGGCATACTTTGATTATTTCCCTTCACTTGTGGAATAAATATTGTTACCTTTCTTAGTGCCTCCTGAGCATTATGGACTGTACTAAGTCCTTTATAATGTTTTTTAATTTAATCCATGTAACACCTATATAAGACAGTCTTCATTAATTACTTATTAATAGACAAGAAGACTGAGACTTTGCAAGTAAGACTTATTAAGGAACATGCCCAGGGGTTAAAAAAAATAAGGGTAAAGATGGGATTGAAACCCAGGTCTACTTGCTAAACTTTTCTTCTTTTCACCATACAAGGACTTGCTTGGGAAACTGACTAAGCCATTGATTGCAAATGATGAAGCCCTATGGAAATCATGGAATAATCTGGTGAATAAAGATTGCTTGACAGTTTCCTTTTTTTTTTCAGTTCGGCAAAAGGTTCTGGAGACAAAGAACCATGAGTTGCTATGGCCAGGAATGGGAGCATTCCAGTTAACTGTCCAGTTGCCTACAGCCCCAGATGAAGTCCAGGATATCTTTGAGGGGAAAATTCCAACAAAGGTAAGTCAAGGCGTGAGTAAAGGGAAGTAGGGTGTTCTGCCAAGCTGTGTGGGAAGGAAATCACAATATGGAGAATATAGTGGGATGAGAAGTATAAATAAAATTGGAATAGAAGGCACCTTACAGATGTGGAGGGGGTGAAAACAGTCATGGGGAAGGTATGGAATAATGAAGGAGGGGGCGCTTTTTGTTTGATTTTAGACACTTTCTGAAAAGTCAGAATTTGCAGATTATAATAAGGCTGGTTTGAGATGTAAATTTTTGGGTTTATTTGGGTGCTTTTAACCTGGAACTTGCTCAGTTTGTTTTATTTTTACATCATTTTGAGGGGACAGAGATCCATACTACCTGCGCTATCTCCTTGACTGTAAAATGGGACAGTAATCCAATCCTCGTTGGGTTGGTGGATCGTTGTGAGGATTAAATGAGACAATCTCTGTAAAGCACAAGGCACGGTGCTTGTTAATAGTAAACACTCAATAAACATTAAATGGGGAAAAGATTTAGGTGTTACCCCACACCCCAAGCACTTGGTGTTAATTGGGTTTTAGTAATTTGTGACTCATTTTTACCAGTGATTCTTGTGCTTAGTGGATATGTCATTACATGTGAGGTGCATTCAACAGCGTAAGTGCCAGAACTTTTTATTATTGTTTCTATTGGCCCGATGTCTCCGGTCCAGTCCCAGGGACAGTTTCTCAACGTAAAGAAATTATTAGTCATTTCTTGATGCTACTCTACTGTTTATTGGATTTCAGGATTTGGAGACCAAAGAACATGTCAAAGAACCAGGTAAGGGCAAAGAACTGAGATGGCTGACCTTCGCCAGTGGTTTTGCTTTCATTAAAGATGGCACTTGCAGGGCTCATCCTTCTTGTCTTGACTTCACAAAGCAGGGTGTGCTTAGCTTAGAGATGCCATCTGCATCTCTAAGAGATGTCATACTCACAGCCAGCTGTGCTGAGGGTGAGCACGGGGGGAGCCCCCTGGGATCTTAGGGCTCAGGTCAGAAGGATGGGAACAGATCTCTCTGTGGGGACTGGGAAACACCTTGCAATTGAAAGGAGGTGAAGAGGTGCCTGGGAGATGGTGATAAACTGACCTGTAGAGCCCACCTGTGCCCAACCGCCATCGAGAAGCAAGGACAAGATGTGTCATTGTGTGTCCTGTGTGGCTAAGTCAGTTTCCGAGCACTGGGTCTGGAGGGGGCTATCCTCTGGAGCCACAACAGGATGGTGGACAAAAGCTTCTAAGTGATGGGTGCAGGATGTGGGTACAGCTCTTCTCATCCTTTCTGCTGTAGGAAACAGCCGCTACCTCATAACGCTTGTGGACTCGCAGCTTTCCTAGTGTCTGGGTGTTGGCCTGCTGTACCAGCTGCCACTTACTGAAGAGGCAGCTCATTTTCCTGGCCAAGCATGCTCTTATAAAGGGGGAGAGATGTTGACCTGTGCTGAATGGCTGGACAAAGGAGATAAAGTGATACGTATATCCAGATCTTAGGGAAAAGGAATTCCAAAAAAAAAAAATGTGTAAATTATTATCCTCTAAAACTGACACTGTCTTGAGAACATGTTTCCATTTTTGCAACTTTCTCTTTTGAAAATGGCAGTAGGCTGAGAGCTGCCTTTACTTGGCAAACCGACTGGAGAGGGATGTATGGATTGTTTTTACCTAACACAGAGGCACTATTCAGTGGTAGAATCTAGGATTCAAGGTTTTCTTAAGAAGCTCATGATTCAGGACACCTGGGTGTCTCAGGCGGTTAAGCGTCTACCTTCAGCTCAGGTCATGATCCCAGCATCCTGGGGTCGAGTCCTGTATCAGGCTCCTTGCTCAGAGGGGAGCCTGCTTCTCCCTCTGCCTGCAGCTCCCCCTGCTTGTGCTCTCTCTCTCCCTCTCTGACAAATAAATACATCTAGGAAAAAAGAAAAAAACTCATGATTGTTATGTAATAGGAATCTTTAGTCTGTTTAGAGTAATTACTGCTTTCTATTCTTCAGATATGAAACAGGCTCAAGTAACTTCCAGTGTTCATTGGGACTCCCTAAATCCTTATCTATTTTTGGAAAATGCCTTATGTGCTGTACCCTCAAGCCCAAATTTAGACCGGGAAGTGGTTTTATATTGGTACATTTATATTTGTACCATTTCCTGGGTCTAGACTTTAATCAAGTCTGTGTTTCTTATGATTTCATAGATTTTACCCTACTCTGTCTTAACTGATTTGTCAGCACTGTTTCGGATTTGCTCACAACACCAAGGATATTCTCAGGAAGAGCCATCCAGTCCCACTCCACCAATGGACTTTTCTTTGTCCTGGAGACTTTAGACTTGTTTGCTGACCTGTTTTTACATGACTCAGACTCTAATGATAGTAAGCAGCCAGAAGTTGGGCCATCTTTAACGAAGTACTTAATTGGCCCCTTTAAGAGACCTAAGAGGAGGTCCCTTGTCGAGTGGTTGCTCCACACTGAATCCTGACGGTGACCCTAAGGCTAGGACTTTTGAAATTAATTGGAATGGTATAGACTGTTTTCAGAACCGAGCAAAATCAGGGTGGAGGGTGGTTCCCTAATAGGTTCCCCATTTCAGGGCTGAGGAGAACAGAGCATACTGCCCACCGAGCGCACTGGGCATGCCCAAAACCCTGGGCATAAAGTTGAAGATGGGTAAGCAGTTGACAGAGGAAGAATAGATCAGTCAAGCCACACACCAACACCAGAGGGTGTGGGCACTGAGCTAATGTCCTGTTCCAGGCTCAGCTGAATTGGGCTGGGTCTGCAAGGTGGAAACCAGCAACTGGAAGAACCTGTAGAAGAGAGACATGCAGGAGCAGAGAGATACTGGTCACTTGTGGTCAGGAAATTCTGGCTTTTTCAACTCTGTATTTCCAGCCTGGACTCTCTTCTAAATTCCAGACCTCATGTCTGACCTTCCTGTTGGAAAATATGTTAGAGCCACCATGTCAAAGCCACCTGTGTCATCTTCTTCCTCACACCAGTACCCTTTCTGTCTTCCTTCTTTCTCTTGAAGTACTCAACCAGTCTGCCCATCACCTACTGGAAACTTCAGTCATCTCTCTTCTTTAAGCCTTCGTGTATATTAGTCACAGAGACTTAATAATTTTTTTTAAGGTTTCCTCATCTGTCCCTCCCTCATACCAGGCTGCCATGATTACCTCACAAATGCAGCATGGCAGGAGCACCCTGCTTGGTCTCTCTGTATCTGATGTCCTTTTCCTTAAATCTGACCGGCCCTTTCACTATTGCTAAATATCCTGTCCTCCTTATCACAGAAACCTTCCACAACTCACCCTTACTACCGACTGCAGGATAAAGTCCACACCACGTTCTGGATGAAGCCAATTTTTCTGGCCTCATTTCTTACATCTACACCTAAGTGCTCTTTGAGCTTCATCAGTCAGACCACCATTTCCTAAGTAGTTTGGCGCAGTCATGGCCCTCTGCCTGTACTTCTGTGGCCCACAATCCCCATTACCCCACTTCTCTCTATCTAAACTCTAGAGAGCTTTCAAAATCCACTCAGCTTCCCCTTTTCCTGAAGCCTTTCCAAAGCACCCAGTCGCCTTCTGTGTCTCTCGGACTCCTGGCTGGATTATTGATGCTCTTTATTTGGCAGTTAACAAAGCCTCTCTTGTGATGAAGCTTCTAATAGTCATACGGTTATAAAACCATGTTGCTGGAAAGGCTCTTAGCATTCAGTTCATCCAGGACTCCTTTGTAAAGAGATTTGCCTGAGGTCACATGGCTAAAGAGTGGCAGAGTCAGGGGTTAAACTCAGACAACCGCACCCCCAGCTCAGCAGTCCTTCTGCTTTGTCACACTTATCTCATTGAATGCTCTGTTATTATTGAATCCTTAAGCTATTTTTTATTTGGCATGAGTGCGTGGTGTTACATTCCACACATAACAGGAGTGTGTGTCAGGATCACCTAACTGCTGTAACAAACAACCCCCCAAATCATAGGTCAGTGTCGTCAGCAGTTGGGGAAGGGGGTGGCTAGACTGCTTCAGGAATCCCAGATTCCTTCCATCTTTTGACAAGATTACTTTTGATACGTGGCCTCCAAAGTCACTGCAAAGGAGAATGGAAATTCACATAAAGGAGATTTGTACTTGCCAGGCGTGGAAGTGCAATTCACACTTTCACCCCTATTCCATTAGCCACATGAACTTGGCTGTGGGAAGTCTGGGAAATGTTGCCCAGAAAGAAAACAAAATGGATTTGTTGAGCACGTAGGATTTTACTCTTCCGTGATAAACATTTACAAATGTCAGTTCTTTTTGTCATTTGTCTTGTATACCTCCATTAGAAAACCTGTAAGTTCCTTATCTGATGTTTTCTGTATGCACCCCTCTCCACACCTCCAGTGCCTTGAACATAGTAAGGGCCCCAATTGAACAGTCACTCACAGAATGTCTAAAGATTATATCATATGCCTCATGCTGCACTGGGCAAGCATAGAGTGGGACTGACCTGATGCATAGATGGAACTCAGGAAGGGCCAAAAATGGAGAGGAACAAGCTGGCTGGGAGGATTGCTGTTCGGTGAGCTTGATGTATACATATAGCTCCCTAGGCCATTTTAATTTCTATGTGTGTTCCTTAGTCATTCAGCAAGTACCCTTTTTTATCTTCAGTGATGAAAACGTATTACTTTTCAGAGCATAATATGTTACATGTCATCAGATATTCTTGCTTTCCTCCAGTGGCCCAAGCAGTAAATCTCTGATTCAGCACTCTTGAGCCTCAAGTATATACTAGGTGCCAGCAATACAAGGATGAATAAACATGTCCCTTGCTTTTGAGAAGCTGAGTTTAGTAACTGTATAAGGTGCTTGATGGAAGCATATGTCAAAGGCTATGAAAGACAGGTTCCTCAAAGAGACAAGGCAGAAAAGGGCATACTAAAAATCAAACTTAATGATAATAGTTAAATGTTACATTTGATTTTTAACTAAATTAAGCAAAAAGCCTTCTCAGATGTTTTTTTTATTTGACTTAGCCAAGAGATTGAAAAGGAAAGAGGAAAGCGTCTTATGATAATTTGTTAAGACCATGATAGACAAATGTAACATCTTGTACCTCTTTTGTCCTTTTAAAATCAGATGTGTCAGAAGAACTGGATACAAAACTTTCTCCCAGTAGAAGATCAGAGAAAATGGAAGATACCTCAGAAGAGTGTGAAAATACTGCCTCTTTGGTTGCATTTGAAAATCTCAAGGCAAATGTAACCGATATAATGTTAATCTTGATAGTGGAGAATATAACTGGCCTGTCCAATGATGCTTTTCAAGTGGAAGTAATACGAGATTTTGACGTTGCTGTAGTTACCTTTCTAATGCATGTGGGTAAGATCAAATGATACTGCATTTGCCAATCTTCTTTGCACCCCACTTTGGGATTTGAGACACCCAGTTAATGGAATGTCTCTGAAAGCTTGACTTTTTCTTGTAGCTAGTAAGAGAGGACTCCAGGTTAATATAGATGCTTTTTTATTTTGAAAGAGAAGCAAATTTGTTTTAAAACGAAATTCTGGTATGTTCAGTAAATCAGACTTCATTGTATGAGGGTGTGTGTGTGTGTGTGTGTGTGTGTGTGAGAGAGAGAGAGAGAGAGAAACAGAGAGACAGAGATAACACACCCAAATAGAAATCTAAAGTCTAAGGTTATAAAAGTGATTCCAAGCAGAAGACTCGGCAATTTCACATGCGTTATCTCACTGGGAGAAGTAAATACTGATCTGTGTTACCAAACTGGACTTATTGGAATGTAGTAATGCTGATAATAGCAGACACTCATATAGAGATACTGTAAGTCGAGTACTATGCTAAGCTCATTACATGTGTTAATTCATTTGTTCCTTTTAACAACCTTTTGAGATCATTGTTATTCCTCCTCATTTTACAGTTGAGGAGACAGAGGTGCAGAGATGCTAATAAATTCTTGGATTTGAACCCCGTGGCCCACCTCTACACAGCCTCTTCTGTTATGTCCTTTACCATGTATTTCCTTAGTACTTTCATGGTCATCCCACATGCAGGAGAGGAAGTGCATGGGATGCAGGAAATGAGTGCTCTTCAAGGTCCATGGGAGGAGTCATGTCCAGAAGGACCAGGCAGTTTTCCAGTCCGAGCCCTCACTATTCCATGGCCATGGCAGGAGGATGGTCATGAAGTCAAAATTCTAGCTTCACCATTTGACTAATTATCAGAGCTTGTCCAAGTTACTCCCCTCTGTACTTGACTTCTCTCCTCCATAGACTAGAGGAAAAAATACCTACCTGATACAGCTTTTAAGAGGATTAAATGAGACAATGTGTGCAAAGCTGCTCTTAATATAGTCCCTGACGCATGTGTAAGGACTCAATGAAGGGAGCTATTCTCATGTCAGATTTATAATTATTTCTTAAAAAGGAAAAACTGAGTGGACTTGCTTTTGTTCATTAATCAAAAATCTTGAACACCTACTATGTGCCAGGTACTTGTTTAGGTGCTGTGGGTAGAGAGATGAATAATTCTTAGTTCCTGATCTTGAGGAACTCCTATGGAGTTGGAGACCCATATGTAAATGAAAAATGAAGCCGGGAGAGAAGCTGCCTCCCTCTGCTGAGAACAGCAGGCTGTGGGGAATGGGAGGAAAGGGGATCCAAACAAGGTGGCTTGGTTTTGCCTTGCTTACTCCCTCTGTGAAGTTTATACTCCACTGGTCCCAGTCTCCCAGGTCCCCAATACACTGTTATTCCCTGCCACTGCTCTTCTCTTTGAGGGAAATGTTTCCTCTCCTAATCTATAGGCTAAACTCTCCTCTGTCCTTCAAAACTCGGATCAGCAACCAGTTACTCTGACAATCCTTGTGGGATTCCCAGTATTTGTCTTCCTGCATCATCTGATCCCACAATAGGCCATTTGTGTGCTTTCAAGATCCGCCCCGCCCCCACTCCTGGATGGTGAATTTTCTTTTTTCTTTCTATTTTTTTAAAAGATTTTATTTATTTATTTGACACAGAGAGAGAGACAGCGAGAGAGGGAACACAAGCAGGGGGAGTGGGAGAGGGAGAAGCCGGCTTCCCGCGGAGCAGGGAGCCCAAAGCAAAGTGGGACTCCATCCCAGGACTCCAGGATCACGACCTGAGCTGAAGGCAGACGCTTAACGACTGAGCCACCCAGGCGCCGCTAGATGGTGAATTTTCAATGACTTGTTATATTCATCTATCTCCAGATCCTAGCACAGTGCCTGGCACATCATGAGCCCACCGTTGATATTTATTAATTTGAAAGAGATAATCAGGCTGAGTCCTGAAGGAGAAATAGGACAGGATTAAAAAAAAAAAATTGGAGAAGGGCATTTCAGGTACAGGTAATTATATATAGCGGGGCAAAAGAAAATAGGGTTTTCAAAATAATGACTAGTTTTTGTGGCAACAAGGAAAATAAAATGAATGGCAGAGGTGATGTTTGGAAATCAGTTTGGAGTCAAATAGCCAACCAAGGGCATTTTAAGCCTAGCTAAGGAGCGTGAACTGATGTCTGCGGGTAATGGGGAGCCATTGTAGGACTTGAGAAAGGGGGGGAGTGAGGAGATTTGTACTGTAGACAGAGCACTCAGGTAGGACGTCAAGGGGGTTTGGAGAGAGCTGTGCCTGCAGGCAGGGACACAGCTCTGTGGCAGGATGCCAGGTAAAACGTTCACATGTATGTTACTGCTCAGAGACCAGGAGTTGTAAGCATGTAAATTCTCATATAGAAATGAAAATCTTGGGGTGCTTGGGTGGCTCGATGGGTTAAGCGTCTGCCTTAGGCTTGGGTCGTGGTCCCAGGGTCCTGGGATGGAGCCCCACGTTGGGCTCCCTGCTCGGCGGAGCCTGCTTCTCCCTCTTCTCCCCACTTGTGCTCTCTCTCTCTATCTCTGTCACTATCTGTGTCTCTCTCTCAAATAGGTAAATAAAATCTAAAAAAAAAAAAAGAAATGAAAATCTTGCCTCTAAAAATTGAGTGCTTAGCTATCTCCTTTATCTCAATTAATATTCAGACAGTTTCTTCTGTATAACATAAAGGTATGATCATAATTTTCTGATGGATGGATTGATTGATTTTGATTTGTAGATGCTGTGAAATTTGTTGATGATTGTCCCAGGCACCACTCAGTGAAACAACTCCAGCTTTCTCCAAGACTTCTGGAAGTGACGAAAACAATCAGGGTTGAAAACCTGCCACCTGGTGTGGATGACTATAATCTGAAATGTTTATTTGAAAATCCTCAAAATGGAGGAGGAAGAGTTGCCAGTATTGAGTGTTTGCCTGAAGAGAATTCGGCTCTGATTGAGTTTTTTGACAAAAAAGGTAATATCTATGAGCCTGATTTTGTGAACCTACCTGACATGATCTAAGCCCTTTTAGCAGATCTTATCAGTTATCAGTTGAGTTCTGATGCATTTTATTTTTTATTCATAAATTTCACTGGAAATCCAATTAGTAATCCTGCTTATCTGGGATGATCGTAAGTGAGTCCAGTGATTTAAACTTTAGAGAAGCAGGGCCGAGTTTTGAAAGATATAAGGAGGTTCTCTCATGAGTCTCTACCTTTGGTAAAAATCCATAATTCTTAGACTCTTTGAAATACTGTATTAAAAAAAATATGATCTGTGTTTTAGCTGTCTACTTGGTAGAAATTATCAAGTTCATCCCAACAAGGCTAGGTAAAGAAATACTCAGAAACACATATACTTCCTATAAAGTATCACTACTTACCCCTTTCACGTGTCAGTCTCATCATTCAGAAATTCATAGGGGTGGTTATTGGCATCCAGTGGATGCCTGCTGGATTGTTCTTTGCAGCAACCCCGTGAAAACCATGTTGAGCTGAACCTCAGGGAAACACTTCTCAGGGTTTTGCCAGTAGAAGTGGCAGGAGGGGATTATAGCAGGGACAAGGGGAGGTGCAGGACTTACTGAATCCGAGGCCCCAGGGCCTGGGCTCTCCAATGACCATGAAGTGATCTTGTTTGGAACCCCTGGTAAAGGGGCAAGAGCGGGGCTTTGGGGTTAGACAGACACTGACTCAAATCTTAGCTCAGGTATTTGTCCTTTACATCACCCTATTTGAGTTACCTAACCTTCCCTAGCCTCAGTTTTATCATTTGTAAATAGGGACGATAATAATCATGTCTCTATCTCAAAGGGTTGCTGAGAAGCTTAAATAAATAAATATACGGAAAGCACTTAGAAAGGTGTCTGACACATGGTCAGCTCTGATAATTACTATGATGCTCCTCCTCTTAGAGGTATTAACGGAATCTAAATCAGCTATGAAGCCTGAAACTGTGAGGCTGTATAAGAAGCAGCAAATAGCATGATTCTTACATGAGCTTTGCTTTGAACACCAGAGTATTCTTTACACTGGGCAAACATTACTCCCATATTTGTGAACAAATTCTTATCTATTTGTTAACCTAGTGGTGATATAGAAGTGTTACCAGGAAACAGAAAATAGAATTTACTTAACAGAATTTCAACATAGAGTGATCTTGGTTGGAAAGTATTCCATTAAGCAAGGGATAACTATGTAGGAGTAATAAAAATCAATTTATATCTGAGCACTTTGAGAGTAGAGCTGCTTTTTCATAGCATGTTATAACATCCAAGTTCTACAATCATTAGGATTTTTTTTCCCTAATAGAATAGTGGTTTTTTTTTTTTTCACTTGAAACATACCACACTGGGGTTACTTTATTTTATTTCTTTCCTCTTAAGTGTTACACACCATCCTGACCAAGAAACTAAACCTCAATAACATGCCACTCTCTGTGTTTCCGTACTATTCCTCTTTGGGCACGGCCTTGTATGGAAAGGAGAAACCTCTGATCAAGCTTCCAGCACCATTCAGAGAATCATTAGATCTTCCCTTATGGAAGTTCTTACAGAAAAAAAAGCATCTGATTGATGAGATAAATGACAAAGTGAGACATTGTCACTGTGATCTAATATGGTCCGAACTCAGTAGTGAAGTTACCATCAGACCTGCAACCACATTATTCTGTCTTGGTAGACTGAGAATCAGGAGCTGGAAGGAAGACGTTTCCACGGCATTCTCTAGCATCAGGTCTAAATATAAAGTTACCCCCTTTAAAGTGCATCCCACAGTATGGGACACCATAAAAAAGAGTGTAGAAGACGACAGGATTTTGATTGAATTTGATACACTTACGGGGATTGTAACCTTAGTAGGGAAATCAGAGGATGTACAGAACATTGAGCCACAAATCAAGGAATTAATAGAAAGTACCACTCAAAAAATTAAAAGAGAAGAGCAAAGTCTAAAGGGAAAAGTGGCCATTTCTCCAGGAAGGTATTCTCTTTTGTGTCACAGCGATATTCTGGAGCGTCTCCACACTGAGTGCCCAGAGATGGAGATTTGTTATGATGAAGTTTCTCAACACGTGTGCTTCAAAGGCCTCTACACAGATGTGTATAAAGCAAAGTGTGAAATACAGAAAAAGATGTACACCATGGTTCAAAAAAGCATCCAGCTTCCCCCTGAGATTTTCCAGTTTTTGCAAAAAGGAGACTGTATAGAATTCTCTAAGTCTCTTTTGATGGCACAGAAAATTCTTGCAGTTTATGAGCTGGAGGGTAAAAATGTTCTCTTAATCGGCTATTCCTCTGAAGTCCTATTAGATGCTGAAAAGCAAATGGTCAGTGCCTTAAGTTATAAGCGCATCAACATCGAGGACAGGGACATTCTTAATGGCAAGAAATGGAAAGGGCTCACCCACAGTTTGCATAAGAGACATAATTCCTCCTCAAAGACTGTAATAATCGATGAGTTAACTTCAAAAACCAAAGCTGAGGTCATCATCGCGGGCTGTGTGAGAGAAGTGAATGAATCCTATAGCTTGCTTTTGGACTTTGTGGAAAAACACATGAAAATAGAGAGATTGATTGAAATAGAGCCTCCCGTAATCATTGATTATTTAAGGATAGAAAAAAAACCATTCTGGCAAAAGATAAAGACGATAAATGTTCAGGTAACTTTCAATATTGAGAATAAACAAAAAGGCATTTTACTAACTGGGCCAAGGGCCAAAGTCCTGGAGGGCGTGAGCATCATCAAGCAAGCCTTGGGTTCCATCTGTATTGAAAGCGTCCATATTGATAAGCCATTGGTCAGCCAGTTCTTCCAGGAGAAAGCACAGTATTATAAAAGAGAGATCAAACGGTTATTTGGATGTTCCATTGACCTACAGGAGAATGGAGGGGAGAAGGAGGGAGGCGGCGCGGATGGGCAGAAGTGCTTGTCGCAGGTAGAGCTGGCCCCCGGAGTCTCACTGAAGGTGCCACAGAGCAACTTGTTGCAGGTAGAGCTGGCCCCCGGAGTCTCACTGATGGTGCAGCAGGGTGACTTGACCAAGTTTCCTGTCGAGGTGGTGGTGAGCAGCACCAGTGAGGACCTGCAGCTCTGCAACAGCCTGGCGGCGGCTCTTTCCAAAGCAGCCGGCCCTGAGCTCCAAGAGGACTGTAACCAGATAGTGAAGAAAATGGGCAAGATCCTTCCCGGCAGCGCCATCATCTCGAAAGCAGGCAAACTCCCATACCGCCACGTGGTCCATGCGGTGGGGCCCCGGTGGAAGGACGACGAGGACCTGAAGTGCATGCTCCAGTTAAAGAGAGCTGTAGAAGAAAGTCTCCGTTTGGCTGAAACACACAGGTGCCGGTCCATAGCCATCCCGGCCATCAGTTCCGGAGCTGGTGGCTTTCCCTTAGCCCAGTGTGTGAAGACGATTGTTTTGGCTATCAAGAAGAACTTCCAGTTTAAGCAGGATGGACACACCTTGAAAGAGATTTACCTTGTGGATACAGCTGAGAAGACTGTCCAGGCCTTCGCAGAAACTGTGAAAACTGTATTTGCGGACTCCCTGCCTCCTACAGCTCCCAGGCCCAGTGTACCGCAGATGGTCCAGCCCGTCTTGACCAACGTTCATGGACACAGTCAAATTCTGTTGTCCCAGGGAAACCTGAGGATCCTGCTGGTGAAAGGAGATGTGCAGAGCGCCACGGTGAGTGTCCCTTCTGTCCCTGCCTGCCAAACACCTGCCGCGGTGCTGCAACTCCATCCAGCCTGTTGCCCAAGGCAGACTAGGACCCAGGGAAGAATCCCATGCCCTCCCTCCGAGCCTCAGAAGCGGTTTCCTCAGAAGACTGGGCGGCTTTACTGAGGCATTTACCCACAGAGATTGGTCACTCTATTGTGGGAACTGCAAGTGTACTCAGATCACGGGGTTTCCAGTAAATGCAAAAACCCACAGTACTATCTTACGTTTATACATGTATACTTTTTCAGTGCCTTTATACCCGTCACATTTTGGCAAATCTAAGGTTAATTTCCCGTCAAATTTGCTGAGGGCAGATACAGACAAATTAGAGCATTTGATGTGGGCAGAGGATGGGAATCTTGTCAATGGTGCCGAACCAGGGTGAACTGCACTCCTCCTCGGTGACCCAGGCAGGGCAGCCTTGAATATCACTTGGTCGCATTCCTTCTCCTCTCTTCTCTTGGTGTCTTAATTGAGCCCGATTTAGAAAAGCTCTGTCGGATCAAAGCAGTCTGCTCACAGCTCAGACCTACCTGGTGGCTAGGTCGTTAAGCGTCTGCCTTCGGCTCAGGTCATGATCCCAGCGTCCTGGGATCAAGCCCTGCATCGGGCTCCCTGCTCAGCGGGAAGCCTGCTTCTCTCTCTCCCTCTCCCCCTGCTTGTGTTCCCTCCCTTGCTTGTCTCTCTCTCTGTCAAATAAACAAAAAATCTTTAAGAAAAAAAACCAAAACCCTACCCGGTGTATGTTCCCACTGGTCCCTTCCCAAATGACTGCCCCGCCTCCCTCTCCCTGCTGCCCTGATTCCTATTTCCCAGACCCCACAAGCCATGCCTCTGCACTCCTTCAGAGACCCTATACTATCTATATCTTGCTTTATATCTCCGTTGTCCTGGAGTGTTATTTAAATAAGTATCTAGTAACCCTTTGCCTTGGGTGGCATTTCAATCTCTGAAATTAATCATCATCATTTCTCCCCTATAGTGCCAAACCCAGGGGCTCAAATACAGTGATCCTTGATGAATGCTCTTTGTTAGTATCTGAAACAAATTGGTTTTGTCTTCAAGGCTGATGTTCTTGTCAACTCCATTCCGGTGAATCTTCAGCTTAATAAAGGGCTCCTTTCTCAGGCCCTCTTGGCGAAAGCTGGGCCAAAGCTCCAGGAGGAATTGGACAGAGTCGGCCAAGCGAAGCCTGTTGGCATGGGTACAGTTCTCCGAACCAGTGGACACGGTCTACACTGCCACCATGTGCTTCATGTAGTGGCTCCGGACTGGAGAGATGGCTGCACATCTTCCTACAAGGTGGGGCCAAGTTTGAGGTTCTCTGGGAAATTGGGTCACCTTTGGGACTCTCCTCTCCGTATAATGTAGATTGGCCTCTGTCTGTCACGTTATCAGTGGGTTCTATCACGATGGCCATTTCTTTCAGTTGTAGCTGACTTCACCTGAAGACTAGTTAATAATATAAACTGATTACAGTGCTCAATCATTATTGGGGCTCGGGGAAGAGTTATTGAAGACGACACATCTTTAGTGAGGATAGCAAGGTGAGGACATGAAGAATGGAGGAGAATGAAGGATTAGAACAGTAGTTGCTTTGCTTCTTTCCTTCCTTGCTGAGTGAGTCTGAATCTTTTTAGAGGGTCTCTGATGTTCCCTTTTCCTGGTCTACTCCTGTGCTTTTCTTTCCTTTTTTGACTGCCCTTAACCTCTTTTTAAAGGAGAGTAGACAGAGATCACATCAAGGTGCTAAATTCTTGTCCTTTTTGTTCTAACTCCCATTTCTAGGAAAAATGCATAAAGATGTGCTTTGTGCTTTTCAGATCATGAGAGACATTATCAGAAAATGTCTGGAAATCACCGAGAACTTGTTCTTAAGATCAATTGCATTTCCAGCAATAGGAACAGGAAATTTGCGGTTTCCTAAAACTGTTTTTGCTGAATTAATAACTTCAGAAGTGTTAAACTTTAGTAGCAAGATTCAACTGACAGCTTTACAAGAGGTTCAATTTCTGCTGCACCCTAGTGATCATGAAAATATTCAGGTACAGTCTCACTCATTTCTGGTTATTTTGGCAGCTGAGCCCTCATGTTTTCAGATGTCGTCTTGGTTGGTCTGTTAGATTGTTTTTTCCATGTATTTCCTGTACTGCAAAGTAAAGGAGTGGTATAGACCACTTGTAGCACAGCAAATGTCAAGCAAATTTATGGATATAGAAAAAAATATAACTTCTTATTAAGGAGACTTCCAAACATAAATAAAAGTACACAAAATGGTATAATGAACTCCCTTGTACCCATCACTCATCTTCACAATTATCAACCCATGGCCAGTATGTTTCATCTCTATCTCCATTTATTTCCCAGCAAATCCTAAACATACTTTACCCATAAAAAATTCAGTATTTATTTTAAGCAATAGGATTCTTTTTAAAAAGTAACATTACCACAATACTATTTCACACTTAAAATAAATTGAAAATCATTCCCTTATTTCCTCAATTATCAAGTCAATGTTCAAATTTCCAGTTGTCTCATAAATGCCTTATTTTGTTTTGTCTTTTGGTTTTTTTTTTTTAGATTTATTTATTTATTTGAGAGAGAGAGTGCGCGTGTGTGCAAGTGCCAGGGGGGAGGGGCAGAGGGAGAGGGAGAAAGAGAATCTCAGGCAGACTCCCCAACCCTGTGGGCCGGGCCCGATCCCATGACTCTGAGGTCACAACCCAAACAGAAACCAAGAGCCTGACACTCAACTGACCAAGCCACCCAGGTGCCCTGCCTTATTTTGTGGTTAGAATGAACTCAGCACATCCCCATGGGAGTAGGAGAGTGGGGACTAGAAATACCAGAACCATCTTCGGTTGTAGAGAGTCCATCAACCAGCTGTCCACCTTTACACACGGAGCCTGCCTGCCTGCCTGCCCGCCCCTGGAGTCCTGTGAGCCTGGGATCCTGGCTCTGTAGTCTCCCCACGTCCCCTTCCCATTACTGGACCAATCTTTTAGCAGAGAAGTTACTTATTTTTTTCTCCCCCCAAAAATCTCTCTTCCTTGTTTAAAAGGAGAAAGAAAGTGATGATTTGAGGGTGTCACTACCAGGCAAAGAAATGGAATTCACAGGTTCATTAACCCTAGAATACCTCTGGCTCCAGAGAGGACTACTCCCCTAGCGATTCCTCTCCTGGAACAAGTAAGAAGTTAAAAAATGTAAGTGGGCTGGGGCGCCTGGGTGGCTCAGTTGTTTTAAGCATCTGCCTTCGGCTCAGGTCGTGATCACAGGGTCCTGGGATCGAGCCCCGCATCGGGCTCCCTGCTCCGCGGGAAGCCTGCTTCTCCCTCTCCCACTCCCCCTGCTTGTGTTCCCTCTCTTGCTGTTGTCTCTGTCAAATAAATAAATAAAATTAAAAAAAAAAAAAGTGGTTGCTGTCTATGTGATTATCTTTCTCTTACCACTGTGTTTTTTTTTAACAACCAGCAAGAAACTTGCTCTTACTGATTATGGAAATAATACATATTCATTGTAGGAACTTTGAACCATACAAAATGCATACATTCTTTTAGTTGTATTTCATTGTAGTCTTCTTTTATACGTGTGTACCTTTAGAAGTGGGATTATATAATGCAATTTAATATCATTATTTTTTCATTTAATAGTATAAAAAAGAGAATTTCCTATTCCACAAACTATTTTTTGAAAATGAGATTTTTAATGGCTGTTAAATATGCCAACACCTGGATATACCAAAATTTATTTAACCATTTCCCTGTTGGATTTTTAAACTGTTTTATTTCTCTGTTATAAATAGCATGTAATGAATATGCTTGTATTTATAACTTCCTTCACATATTTAATAGTTTTCCTAGAATGCAAAAACAGAATTTGCAAAAACAGGATTATATGTATTATTTTCATAATTTCAAAAATCTATAATGAAAATAACACTTTGAGAGTTGTTCTCTCCTAAGTATGTGTGCATGCAAGATCAAAAGCCCTGATGAATCAAATTTATGCATCTATGGAGGATTGTAGTGGTCAAAACTGTCTTTGTATTTCCAGGCATTTTCAGATGAATTTGCCAGAAGGACTAATGGAAGTTTCGTCAGTGACAAAATTCCCAAGGCTGAAGATGCACAAGGTTCAGTAAAGCTATGAGATGAGAAATTATTTCTAGTTGCTAAATAACTATTCAGTGAAAGACGGTAGTGATGATTTTTATGAAAGAATCAGTTAGTGATAAAGAAGATATTAAATTATATCCCATACCCCTGAGCATGTAAGACATTGGCTGTGCTTATGGGGTCTGATGTGAAAGAGTAGGCAGGCTAAGCTATATAATCTATACAGTGGGTTTGTGGGTAGTGATTTGGCTACTAATTTCTAAGGATGATGTGACATGTGTTTTCAGAAACAGATAAATTTAAAGAGACAATACCAACCAAATGCTTCTCCTGTGTTAAATCTGCTCTTGCTACATTTGAGTTTATCCAAACTCCTGTTTATAGAGTTTGCTGAGACTTTTTGAATCTGAATGTGTATGTTTTCCATCAAAGTTGGGGATTTTTCAGTTATTCTTTAATTAGTTTACCTCACTGGTCTCTCTCTAGTACCCCAATAACATGAATGTGAAGTGTTTTGATAGCATGCCACGGGTCCCTGGGATCTCTTTTTGTTTCTCTTTTTTAAATCTCTTTTCTCTCTGTTCATCACATTGGATAATTTCTATTGACCTACCTCCAAGTTCATGGACTCTTTTCTCTGTCCACTGCCCAGCCAGTGAATTTTTTTTACTTCAGATACCGTATTTTTAAACTCTAAAATGTCCATTTGGTTCTTTCTTTCTTTCTTTCTTTTTTTTTTTTTGGAGTTTATAAACTGAACTGCAGGGCCTCCTATTTTTCCATTTACTCCAAGTCACTTTCAGGCACTCAACTGTTTTACTTTGACCTCAGGGAGCATGGTTATAGCAGATGCTTTAGCGTCTTTGTCAGGTAATTCCAACATCTGGATCACCTTGAGATTAGTGTCTGTAATTGGTTGTCTTGATCCTTGAGAACTGGTCACATTTTCCTGGTCCTTTACAGGACAAACCATTTTGGATTATAGACTGGGCATTTTAAATATTATGTTGTGAAACTTGGGTCCTATTAAAATCTTCTGGAAAATGGTGATTGTTTTGTTTGTTTTAGCAAGTAGTTAAGTTCATTCTAAGCGCTCTATCTCACCTTCTGTGTGGGCAGCAGTTCCAATGTTAATTTAGTTCTCAAGGCCTTTGCTGTGCAGCTTGGGTCTGTCCCCACACATGCAGCTACAGCTCTGTATTCATACACAGAATAGGGGTACCTTCTCCAGCTCTCACCTGTCTGGGACTCCTACACTCTCTGGCAGGCTAATTTTCTAGGTCCTCTGGCCAGAAAGACAGGTTTCTCCAGGAGCTTAAGACGCCTGTTCAGCTGCCTCATAATTTTGCATGGTAAGGGTTACCCTTGTGGGCAAAGTGGAGAGACAAAGAGGGAGAGAGAGAGAGCCACAGGTATTGCCCATACACACACATACAGCCTTTTTTTTAAGATCTTTTTTTTTTTTAACTCTGAGAGAGACAGAGAGGGAGAGAGAGAATCTCAAGCAGACTGCCTGCTGAGCGTGGAGCCCCACGTGGGGCTTGATCTGGCCACCCAGAGATCATCACCTGAGCCAAAATCAAGAGTCAGAGACCCAACTGACTGAGGCACCCAGGTGCCCCCACATATATGCTTTTCAGACCACAAGGGCCCCTTCTCTTCATTCTCCTGGACAGAAAGGCAAAATGTCTCTCAGAGTTTTCGCTCCCTGTGGGGCCACTGTGGAGCTCTGCAACTGGGCTCATCTTGAGGCAAAGGCCTGAATTAGAAAAAGGAAAAATATGGACAGTCATAAGGATTCCTTCCAATACTCTTCAGTTCACAGGGACCCTTTTTTCTAATCCTCTGGCTGCAAAGATAGGGATTTTCGTTACACAGTTCTGCAACGGGGGCCACCTTGGGCCAGTGCTGAGAGAGAAAGAGGGAAAATTTTAAGACAAAATAAAATGGGAAACTCTCCCTCCCCCTTACAGGTGACTTCTTCAAGTTTTGACTCCCTCCCCCAGCCTGCCTGCTGTTTACTTTTCAGGTCTCAGTTAGTGGCTTTTGTATTTATCCTGCATTTTTAGTTGTGACTCCTGAGTGAGATAGGTGTGTGGGGGCCTGACATCGCCGTGGCCAGCAGCAGAAGTCCACGCTTGATATATATTATATTTTGTAATCTTTTCTCAGAAACTGACCATCACTGGGGCTCAGAGTCAGGGCTGGTTAAGGGCTGGAGATCACAGGGCGGGGGAAGAAGGCGGGGGAAGAAGTATGAGAGGAATGCATCTGGGGAGTGTGAGATCTAAGTTGTTCTTGCTGTGGCCGACTTGGTTAGGGACTCCATTTCTTTTCTTCTCAGGTTTCCATGAGACTGAGTCTAGCCCTAATGTAGACGTGCGTGAAATGAAAATTGGTCCCATCATCTTCCAGGTGGCCTTTGGAGATATCACCAAAGAAAAGGCTGATGTGATTGTAAATTCAACATCAAAAGCATTTAATCTCAAAGCAGGTACTTGTAGGATTTGAGTAGTGTAATAGTCAACTGTCCTATAGTTGCTATAGCCTAACTGGTTTCCACAACTTTGGCTTATTGATATTACTAATTTTAAAGTTTATTTTGACATGGTTTCTAATAATTGGTAACAGATAATTTATAAATTTTTCTTCTTTCTTATCAGAAATACCCAGGTTCTAGGATTGCTTTGATGATTAGGAAAGCTTTTTAGATAATGAGGCAATCATTCTGATCCATATGTACTATTCTGATTTTTTTCAATTCATGTTTGTAACCCTCTTGCTTTTCCCCTGTAGGGGTGTCCAAAGCAATTCTAGAATGTGCTGGACAAAATGTGGAAATGGCATGTTCTCGCCTAGGTAAGACACAATACTATTTTTTGGTTCAAAATTATAAGTAGAAGGCTGAATATGGGAGGTTTTGGAGAGGCGGAGGAGAGTCTTGGGATTGGGGAGACAATATATTAATCTTAAAATCATACATTTGACCAAAGAATTCTAATTAGAGACAATTAGAAGTGAAAAGTAATCTCACTTAAAAAGAGAAGATAAGAAAGATTCCTCAAAAACCATATTTTAGGAGTCTCTTTTCACATAAAATGCTTTATATGCCAAAGCAAACATTTTGCTTTCTAAACAAAGAATGGGTTCAGTATCTAATTTTGCATCTCTCTGTCTTGTGTTTCCCAGCTCAAAAGGGCAACAGTGATTATATAGTTACTGAAGGTGGATTATTGAGGTGCAAGAATATTGTTCACATCATTGGCGGAAATGATGTCAAGAAATCGGTCTCCCTTGTTTTGCAAGAGTGTGAAAAACGGAATTACTCGTCAATTTGCCTCCCAGCCATTGGGACAGGTTTGTAACCTCTGGCTGTCAAGGCGTCCCCCTTTCCTTCGCTCTGGTGCTGACTGTTAATATAGTCAATGCAGAGTCTGAGTCAAAGTGGCTCCTCATCCCAAGGCAGCTCCAAAGGGAGTAAGCAAAGACTGTGGGGTGGTTTAAGTAAGAGGAAAAAATGAAGAAAACTGAAGATAGTGTTGAATATTAGAGCGACATCTGCTCTGTACTATGGGAGGGAAGAGAGAGGAAGGGCAGGAAGAGAAAGAAAGCCCATCATCTCTCCTTCTCTCCTCGCTCCTCTCTTTCTTTTTCTTTCCTGTCCCCTACATTATTTAGTCTTGAACTCCCTCCCCCATCCCTTCTGCATGGAGAACCTCAGAGCATGGGCTTGTACCTCCCAGGAGCTGACTCGGATGGGGAGGAGTATTCCTGGCCTTGTCACACCTCTTGCACAGCTGGCCCTATGAGTTGGCCTTAGGACATGTCTGCACAGAAGCCTCCCAGTCACCAGAGCCTAATGGATTCTGGTTCTAATGGGTCAGAAATTCAACTCCAACCTTCCTTTTTTCAGCCTACTTGCCTTTTTTGTTTTCCTCAAACTACATAATAGTTGTGTAAGTCTTCATATATAAGGATGGTGCTTTGGGTTTATCATTAGTAAGGGGATGCTCTTTCAGCTCTTTCCCCAGGAATCTGAGTCTTGGGTGCTGATGAGGAATTTCTGCTTGGTTTCCCTTCCGAGAGTTGGTCAGGGGAGCAAATACTCTCAGACTTGAAGTGGAATGTAGCTGGCTGGTCCCAGAGAGAGAGCACTCAGCACTGGATTGGTGATTCCATTGCGCAGGAATCTGTTTGAGTGTCTCACACTTGCATTCCAGGCCCTCCAAAAGTACACTTAACTGGCCTTGTCACTTCCTGAGCCTTCTTCTAGTCCTCTGTTATTTTAGTTTCTGTAATTCTCTACCATTCCTCTTAATGTTCCCACATGGAATGCTACATCTACTGTATTACTTTTCTATTTCTGAAAGTATAATTTATAGTCCCTTTATGTTTTCAATCCCCTTGTGGTATTATCCAATTTGGCAGTTTAGCCAACATGTCTGTCTGCCAGTTTGTCTGTCTGTCTCTCTCTCTCTTTCTCTATCTCTATCTTTAATGGACACCCACTTATGACTCACCAGTCTCTGTCTCCATTGATTTTTTTTCTGAGCCCTGGTCTTGTGTTTCTACATAAACTTTATCTGGCCCAAGAAATCAGACAACCCAAGGGTGACACAGACCTTCCCAAGAAAAAACAAGAAAACGAGGCAGTTTTTGTTTTGCATGAATACATACACATGATTATTTCTGGGTTACTGCAAACCTGTTATTTCTTCCACTGACCTGGTTGCATTGCTGGTCTGCACAAATAAGTCAGGATTACAGATTCTCCTTGTTTGTCATCTTTACTAATCTGTATCACCACTTGAGCTGGTCCTTAGACTAATGGATGGGGGAACTTTCTCCTTTAGTGGTGTTTGTGAGTTGACTTGGCACTGCGACTGAGACAGCTTCTGGCAGTCAAAGAAGCCCTCTCCCTGGCTCCTTACAGACACCTGCCTAGCGGGAAAGAGTGGGTGGTCAGCGATACTTGCAAGCACTTCAAGTTCAAAGCAAACTATGAACTCCAATTCATTGTCTTCTCCCCCAGACTTGCCCTTCCTCTTATATCCTTGATCATGTTAAAAGCATCACTTTCTACCTAGAATCCTTGACACTACCCCCTTGATCACTCCTATGTTCATTAGCTTATTAACTAATTTGATTAAATATTTCCCAAGTGCCTGCCATGTGCCAGGCACTGTGCTTGGGCACTGGGGACAGAAAGATGACTGAGAAAAGGGTCTAGTCACCAGGTAGCACCTAGCCTCTACTGTGAGAGACAGACATGTAAACCACTGCAGTACAGCATGACTCAGGGTTGCACAGCAAGGTGTGTGGGTGGCAAAAAAGGGGGAACAAAGGGTCAAAGATAAACCCAGTTGGCCACTGACTTCAGGTCCTGCTGACTTCACTTCCCAACTATCTTCTCAGTCCCTGTACTTGACTCTTCATTCTGGCCTCTTCTCTTTGTTCGGCTCTTGTCTTTTGCCTAAACTTTTATTATAGCTTCCTATCTAGACCTGGGCTCCCTGCCCCAGTGCCTCCTCCACATATCCCACCCCCTGAATTTATCTCAAAAAAAAAAATCTCAAAAACAGATCTTTTCCCCTGAACACACCAGGCTGAACATATCACGCCCCTGTTACATAGTTCTGTCTGGCATAGCCTTTTCCACAGTTTCTCATACTTCACCTGTTGACATTCCTCTTCATGCCCATATATCACATACTTTGTGTTCTAAGTGACTAGATGAGAGCTAGCTCATGATGGGACATAGTAAATGTTGAGAGTGAATGAATGTATCTGAACTCTCCCATTTAAATTCTTCCAAAAATCATGAGATAATCATAGCTTTGCAAAGGAGACTTTCTCTCTTTTCCTGATCATCTAATCCAGAAAACTGAAGAAACCCTCTTGTTCAGTTTTGTCTACATTCTCACAAGTGTCTACATAGCCAGGCCAAAGTGGTCTATTCTCATTTCTGCAGTAATGGCGGACACCATCAACAGGAAAAATCCAAGTGGGCTGTTAGTCTCTCACACCAGGTTGGCCAGGGGACTTTTACATTGCTCCCCATTGTGATTTGCTAGCTGCCATTTATTTGTATGTGATTGCTTCCATGGCTTTTCATGGGACTTTTCAAGGGATTTTTCATGATCTTACCTAGGCAGTAGGCTTGAGAAACAAGATATGGAACATGCTGAGAAAAGAAAAAGACTTGCTCTGGTGGCCACCTTGAACCCAGCAAATCAGCTAAAATCTCACTGAGTGTGCTAGAAAAGACTTCCTAGAGGCTTAGGGATAACTGGTGTGCAAAGAATTATAGATTATAATGGATAACTTACAGCTCCAGGTGTCTTACAAAATCAGCTTAGCTTGAATCAGGTCCCCAAAGACATCTGGAAGAATAAAGATACATACATCTAGTTAGGTGACTATGAACAAAAAAGAAAAACTATTGTTCTTTTTAAAGAGCTTGAGATTTCAAGATATATTAGCATCTTTTGCTTTTTATGGACCTTTTGAGGACACGAATGAGCCAAAAAAGGTTAATTGTGCTTTGTAACACAGAGGAACACAGTGAGCTAGGGTCAACTTGACAGAGGAGATACAAACATCAGATATCAAAAGTTAGATTTCCTGGGTCCTTTGTTCATTGTTGGGTTATTGACTTCCTGACATCCTGGAATAGCAGCTCCTTGGTGCATCAAGGAGCTCAAAAGTGTTTGCTCGTGCATTGCTAGAAAAGCCCATGATGATGAAAGAGTGGGCAGTGGGCATTCGTTCTGTGAGGACTGGAATCCCCAAATTATTTCTCAGCCTTCCCAGTTGGGTCTCCCCCCATCCCCGGTTTCTATTATCTGCCTTTCCAGGAAATGCCCAAAAAGACCCAGGTAAGGTTGCTGATGCCATAATTGAGGCCATCGAAGACTTTATCCAGAAAGGAATGCTCCAGTCTGTGAAAAAAGTTAAAGTTGTTATCTTTCTGCCTCACCTACTGAACGTGTTTTATGACAGCATGAAAAAAAGAGAAGCATCTCTGGCTTCTCCCCAGCCGTCTCTGAAGTCTAAATTGACACGTGAGTTGACCATTTTTATGAAATGCATGTTCCGAATATTGATGTCATGTGAGAAATAGCTAATCTTTAACAAACTGTCAGAAAGAGAAATTAAGAAAACAATCCCATTTACAATTATATCAAAAAGAATGAAATACCTAGGAATAAATTTAACCAAGAAGGTAAAAGACCTGTACTCTGAAAACTATGAGACACTAATAAAAGAAATCGAAGATGACACAAATGGAAAAATATACTATGCTTATGGGTTGGAAGAATTAATATTGTTAAAATGCCCATGCTACCCAAAGCAATCTACAGATTCAGTGCAATCCCTATCACAATTCCGATGGCATTTTTCACAGAAATAGAACAAAGAATCTTAAATTTGTATGGACCCACAAAAGACACCTGATAACCAAAGCAATCTTGAGAAAGAAGAACAAAGCTAGAGGCATCACATTCCTGATTTCAAACTACATTACAAAGCTATAGTAATCAAAACAGTATGATATTGGCATAAAAACAAATAGATTATTGGGACAGAATAGAGAGCGTAGAAATAAATCCATGAATATACAGATATTTCTTCACTTACAGTGGGGTTACATCCTGATAAACCTACTGTAAGTTGAAAATTTCATAAGTCAGAAATGCATTTAACATATCTAACGTACTGAACATCATAGTTTAGCCTAGCCTACCTTAAACATGCTCAAAACACATTAGCCTACAGTTGGATGAACTCATCTAACACAAAGCTATTTTATAATAAAGTGTTGAATATCTCATGTACTTTATTGAATACTGTAATAAAAGTAAAAACAGAATGGCTTTGTGGGTACAGAATAGTTATAAGTATATTGGTTGTTTATCCTCATGATTGCCTGGCTGACTGGGATTTGTGGCTTGCTGCCACTGTCCAGCATCACAGGACAGTATGGCACCATATTTACTAGCTCAGGAAAATATCTAAATTCAAAATTCAAAGTATTCTACTGAATGTGTATCATTTTCATACTATCATAAAGTCGAAAAATCTTAAGTTGAACCACTGTAAGTGAGGGACCATCTGTGTGATCAATTAATTTACAACAAAGGAGCCAAGAATATACAACAGGGAAAGGATAGTCTCTTCAATAGTGTTTGGATGCTTGCTTCAGCAGCACATATACTGAAATAAATAGGGCTGGGAAAACTGGACAGCCACATGCAAAAGAATGAAACAGGATTACTTCCTACACCATACACAAAATCCACTCAAAATAGATTAAAGATCTGAAACCATAACACTTCTAGAAGAAAACATGGGGAATAAGCTCCTAGTCGTGGCAATGATTTTTGTTTGTTTGTTTTGACACCAAAGCACAAATAGCAAAAGCAGAATAAACACATGGGACTACCTCAAACGAAAAAAGCTCTTGCATGGCAAAGAAAACCATCAACAAAATGAAAAGGCAACCTATGGGATGGGAGAAAATATTTGTAACTAATATATATGATGGGGGTAATCAACAAAGGGGTTAATATATGAAGATCTCATACAACTCAATAGGAGAAAACAAATAATCTGATTTAAAAATGGGCAGAGGATCTGAACAGACATTTTTCTAAGGAAGACATTTACAGATGGCCAACAGGCACATAAAAAGGTACTCAACATCACTAATCATTGGGGAAATGCAAATCAAAACCATAAAGAGATATCACCTCACCTGACAGAATGGCTATTATCAAAAAGACAAGAAATAACAAGTGTTGGTGAGGATGTGTAGAAAAGGAACCCTTGTGCACTGTTGGTGGGAACATAAACTGGTGCAGCCACTGTTGAAAACAGTATGGAGGTTCCTCAAAAAATTAGAAATAGAACTACCATACGATCCAGAAATTCCATTTCTGGGTATTTATTTTTAGGTAACAATAAAAGAAACTATCTCAAAAAAGATATCTGCACCCCCATATTCATTGCAGTAGTATTTACAAAACCAAGGCATGGAAAAACCTAAGTGTCCACCAACAAATGAATGGATAAAGAAAATATGGTATATACACACACACACACACACACACACACAGATACATAACACGTATGCGTGTATTACACACACACACATGATGGAATATCACTCAGCCATAAAAAAGAAGGAAATCCAGCCATTTGTGATAACATGGATGGACCTAGAGGGTATTATGCTAAGTGAAATAAGACAGAGAAAGACAAATACTGTATGATCTCACTTACATGTGGAATCTTAAAAAACAAACTCATAGACACAGAGAACAGATGGGTGGTTGCCAGAGGCAGCAGAGGGTAGGGTGGGAGATGAGCATGGGTGAAATGTGTGAAAGGGGTCAAAAGGTACAAACTTCCAGTTATAAGATAAATAAGTCCTAGAGATGTAATATATAGCATGGTGACAAAAAGAGAGAGAGAGGGAGGGAGAGAAAGAAATAGTTAATCTTCCTTTCTTTTCTTTTTTTTAGCATCTGTGGGCTCCCCAAGTCAATCTCCACAAAAGCAGAATCCTTTGGTTTTGAAAAAGAAAACAGAATCAGCAAGTTTTCAGGTGTGTGGTGAAAGTGTAAAATGTATAGAAAACGTTGTCTCCTGGATACAGGATCTGATTACAAAGGAACTGTGCCCTTACACCAATGAAGATGAGTGTATCAAAGATTTTAATGAAAAAGAATATCAGAAATTGAATGAGCTGCAGGAGAACTTAAATATTGCCATTTGCTTGGACTGTAGAAGACCTTTGATTGAGGTTTTTGGAATTGGCAAAGATTTGACACAGGCTAGAAATGCAATTGAGGAAATGATCAAGGGAATGAGATTGGCCAAAGAACAGAAATCCCAGGCAGAGTTTATCAGTGAATTTATAGAATGGCAATATTACAACAATAGTACTTTTCATAGTTTTGACAAAATAACCAATCTGCAATTGGAGAATGCAAGGAAGGCAAAGAAAAGAACTGTTGTCAAAATTAATCATCAGAGCTACACAGTGGACCTGACCACACACACTGCTACAGATGCAAAAGGACAGAGTTTACCTGTTCAGCGCCTCATGAAATCTGAAGGTGAGTCAGATTTTATGCTTTTATCCATTATTTTACACCTCCTTTGGACTTAACACTATTTTGTACCTACATCAAAACTGTATTCACGTAGATAAAATTGAAGCAACTCTTATGGAATGAAATAGAACACTTGGTCTCTAAGCTTAAGGAGCTTACATTATGGCTGGGGAAATGTAGCATGGGTGCACTCAGCAGCCTGAGGATGACCTTCTTAATGGCGACCAGACCCAAACCTTGCATTTGTTCCCATCTCTACAGTTTACATGCTTCCCAGAGCCGGTTTTGCTGTGGAGGTAATGGCTGCTTCCGTCAGGAGAGGGAAAGCCATGGGCTTTAAAGGAAAGTGGCCCAAGGTTTTCTAGAACAAAAGAATACAGCCTGGTCAGAGTGGGCACTCTGTGTCCGTGACTGATAACCCAGGGAGGACTGGGAGCCTGTAGGATCTCCTCCCAGAATTTACTTCCTCTCCTGCCCTGAAAAGGTTTCCTTAATGCACGCATCAGGAAGCAGCCTTCAAATTCTCTGACTGGATCTATTACCCATGAAGGGAATGCTGGTGCTGTGTAGATAGCTATTCCTGCTTTTGAACCACACAGGTCCTCCATGGAGACTGGTAAGTTGGCTTCTGGTACATTATCTTCATCTCTTGTGAGATCTGTGTGAGTGAGTTCTTCAGACTCTGAGCAACCCTAGGGAAATGACAAATCAAGTATAATATTCTGTTTAGCAGAAGGGAAAACAGAGCTGCCACAACTACCTGCTAAAGAGCCAAACCTGCCATCCCCCCAACTCTTAAGGATGCAGGGAAGAATAATGAAAGAATAGATGTGGAGGGCCCTGTGATGGTGAGGAGTTCTGGCAAAAATTCACACTGTTGTAACAAGACCATCATAGGGAAATAATCAACTGTTAAATTATTAAATTATGACAGCTTAGAGACTGAACAGGATATGCAGCTGAGTTATGCTACACCAACAATTCTCAACTCTGAGCATGATCAAAACTTGTTAGATGCAGGCACCCAGGTTCCACCCTCAGAGAGTTTGATTCCGTAGATCTTTGGGTGTTTTTCTTCACAAGCATTACAGTTGGTTCTGATGTAGGTTGTCTGTGGGCCACACTTTGAAAAACAAGGAACTTCTTGAACACATTGAGTTAGGAGATTGTAAGGTAAGAACACAGATGATACTCGGTTCTTCAAAGCATACCAGGAATGTGCAGACGGCCTTCCCAGGTGTGTGGGAGTCCTCAAATGTCCTCTTTGCAGTTAAGATCCCTGAGCACTGGAGTGATATGAAGCAGCAGGATGTCTGTGTGGTTGAGCTACAGCCTGGTCATGCAGAATATAACACAGTGGCAAGCAAGTTTAATCAGACCTGCTCACACTTCTACATACAGAAGGTAAGGCTTCTGCTGACATGGAGTTTCTTAATGGTGGAAATAAGTGGTATCATGGTCCTGGATAAATACATAAATACATTTGCATTCATTCTCCACCCCCCCCTTTTTGGGGGCCAGAATTAGAATATTCTACGGTAATCAGATTTTAGATTATAGATTACACTCCTGTCACTATCATTACAGACACACTGAGATTGAGATAGTGTCAGTTATTACAACACGATATTAGATTGCAGTACGATATTAGAATACTAAAACCAGGTATTGACTCAGGGAGGAGCTGGTTAGTAGTGATCTTGAAGAGACAGCTGGTAGAAGTCTTCCCAAGAGGAGGAAATCTTTCCCCAAAGAGGAACCAGTAAGTGGCCCTAAAGAGGAAGGAAAGAGGAACATCCCCAGGATAAAAGGAAGTTCTCTTCCTCCCAAGGAGAAGCCACTCAGGAGTGCACCTATGGAGGCTGCTGGCAGCAAGAGCAACAGCTCCAAGAAAAAGGAAAAGTTCCAAAAGCCAGCCCAGCAGGACTAAAATGGACATTGCCCCGCCCAGCCCTATAAAACCAATTCACAAGAATCCCTGAAGCAAAGTCATAAAAATACAAAGATAGAGCTTCAAGGTTCATTTGACAACTAGCAAACACCATAAAGAGACACACAGAGGCCCTCAGATCAGGATTGTGTGCTTCTGCCCCGCCATTCACAGATCAACAGTGCTTGCTTCCGGGATAAATCCAATAGTCCTTTCCTTGTTCATCTCCCTTATTTTGGCACCTTCCACTTAAAAAAAAAAAAAAAAGATTTATTTATTTATTTGAGAGAGACAGGGCTCGGTTCCACGACCCTGAGATCACGACCTGACCTGAAATCAAGAATCGGATGCTCAACCGACTGAGCCACACAGGTGCCCCTGGCACCTTCCACTTTTAAACATCACTATTGCTCTTTGAAATTATGTTCCCATTTGACCTCTGTGGCAGTATTATATTAATGCTTTTCTTCTTTAATTTTCCTTTCCTTATCCCGGTTATCTATTTCTCCTCCAAATACCTAATCCTAGCTTTACCTGTAGGATTTATATTTTGGTCTTCTGTCTCTGCACTTCACTGGGAAAAGTTTTTACCCTTCTTGGCTTCAGCTGTTATTTCAATGTTGATAGCTCCCAGATCAACATCACCAACCTGGATCTTTGATCAAGCTTTACAACATATTCCAGTGACCTAAAAAATCTCTGCTTGCATATCTAGCTGCTAAATCAATTTCCCTAAACCTAACCCATCATTTCACCATTTCCTTTTCCTTCCCCACCTCTGTCCTTGGTCCACCACTTTCCAAGTAAAGCTAGAGATCTTTGGATGCCTTCCCTTCATCCATCATAATGAATTTGCCAATAAGGGCTGCATTTTCTTTTTTTTGCAAACTTTTTTTTACTCCCTATTTCTGCCAGCACTCTGTTTATTCACGTAGTTAAACACATAATAACTCAAAAAGATTTGAAGTGTCTTACAAAGATATGTATCATACCTTCAGATAAAATAAATAGATGAAGAAAAATGGACAAAAAAAAGAGGGGAGGAAAAATAAGGTAATATAGAGGTATTGTCTGTTTACAAAAATACATAACATGAGTTTCTGGATAGTTACCAGAGGACCATAGGTTTGTTTCTGGGCTTCCTAGTAGACAAAGCAAAGAAGTGAACACCCAGCCTCAAGATTCACTGCTTCCGTAAATCAGAAAGAAAACCATGTGATCAGTGCTGAGACTACTGAGAGGTTTATCCTGTGAATCAAGTGCTGGAGAATATCTTCAAAGTCATCCTCACAATAAATTCAACATCAGATTTTATACCACTGCTTTTATTTTTAATCCCTCAGTGTAAGCCATTCGAGCAAACCAATTCTGAGGTACCAAGACAAAGTGATTCGAGTATGCAGCACTCTCGTGGGGGCTGGTTCTGAGATTTCAAATACCAAGCACAGTCATCCAGTAGTGACTGACTGGCCCATTTTGATGAGATGCCACGTCCAGACTGAGCAGGACTGTCCAGTGGACCAGCGATGTCTGCAGGGAGCCCTGGAGGCTTGCCATGTGTTGGCGAATGGCCAGAGAAATGATTTCACTATTTTTTTGTAGTGAACCCTTTTTTCAAATAAAATCCTATGTGAAAGTCCAGTGTGTGAAACAGACAGAAGTAAAGCTACTTACAGCACTTCTGTGGAAATCCCTAACAGTGTGAAAACGCTAACAGGAAAAATAGGCGGTTATTATCCTCCACGACTGGTAGGACCTGTGACTAAGATTTTTAACATCCATAAACTTCCACATAGATTCAATAATTTTGCCACATTTGCCTTTTCTCTCTTACTCCCTGGGTTTTTGCTGAAGCATTTGAAAGTAAGTTGCAGATATCATGACACTCCTGAATATTTTTGTGCGTATCTCCTAAGAATAAAGACGGTCTCCTAAATAATAACACTGCTATCCCATATAAGAAAATTTACAGTAATTTGGTAATCTCTAATAGAATCCATATTTAAATTTCCCCAACTGCTTACTTATAACTCTCCCCTCTCCAATATGCATTTGGTCATTTTGTCTCCTCTGTCTCTTCCGATCTAGAATAGTACTCCTGCATTTTAAAAACTCATTTTTCATGATACTGAGTTTTTAAGAGTTTAAGTCAGTTGTGTTATAGAATGTCCTACATTCTGACTCTGTCTTGTCTAGATTTTCTTTTCTTTTCTTTTTTTAAGAACTCAAGCAAGTTTGCTTACAGATTCTATATTTGTCTGATTCCTCCTGGGTCCTGCTATCCCGGACTCAAGGAAATTTCCACCACAGCCCTGGAGGCCACTTCCCAAAGAGGATGGTCAAAGCATAGACACTATGATCTGCAACCAGATCCCACCCCACCAGGATTCATGCCCCACTCTTCCAACTGGACCAGAGATTCATTATCATTAATTAATTTCCTTCTGGACTAGACCCTCTAGTGCTTCTCCCACCAGTAGAACATGGCTAACCAGGTAAACCAGTTCCCCAGAAGGACTTAGGAGACAGGCAAAGGGACCAAGTGAGGTAGCGAGCAACCAGAACAGCCAGTGAACTGAAGATAAAAAGCAGGCATTGGGGAGGCTTGGTTAGATTCTAAACACTGTTTGTTCTCATGTGGTGCATTAAAAGATGTTTAAAAAAATGAAATTAACATTCTTCCCAAGGTCTGTTTTTTGTGAAACACTGGATCTAAAAAGATTTCTGAATCAGAGAGGTGCCATCTGGCATTGAATTTGTTGTTTAATTTTTATTTATGAAAAATAATGGTCATATCTGTATCTTGCTAAAGGCTCTTGGCACCAACAGAATATTTCTCCTTGTTGATTTGCAGATTGAGAGGATCCAGAATCTAAATCTCTGGAATTGCTACCAAACAAAGAAGAAGACCATGGATGCCAAGAATGGGCATAAAGACAATGAGAAGCAGCTCTTCCATGGGACAGATGCTGACTCAGTGCCACATGTCAACCAAAATGGCTTTAACCGCAGTTATGCTGGAAAGAATGGTAAGGAAGCAAGTAATCTGGCTGCTCCAAATGGGGTGTCAGCCGCAAGAACCCAAACTGGCGAGGGACAGTGTGGATTGACTGCTTTGTATTCCTTCATGGTTGGTGGCCATGCTGCAGCCAGAGTTTCGAGGTTGGGCTCATTATGTTTCATCCCAGAAGGACTTACTGGCCCTCTAGGATGGCGAAATGACTTTTAAAAATTAAAAACACATGAAAAAAGTTTGAGGCTTTGGAGAGAAGAACTGAACATTATTTTAACATTATTTGACATATTGGGTCAACACATCAGATTATAGACTAAATTGAACTTCTTAAAAATGTTTTTTCTCTTCACAGCTGTGGCATATGGAAAGGGAACCTATTTTGCGGTCAATGCCTGTTATTCTGCCAATGATACATACTCCAGACCAGACAGATATGGGAAAAAGCATATGTATTATGTGCGTGTACTTACTGGAACCTACACACATGGAAATTCCTCACTAATTGTGCCTCCTCCAAAGAGCCCTGAAAACCCTACTGACCTGTATGACACTGTCACGGATTCTGTACAGAATCCCCATTTATTTGTGGTATTTTATGACTACCAGGCTTACCCAGAGTACCTCATTACTTTCACCAACTAACATTTTGGTATCCTTCCCAGAAGACATTGCTCGTCTATACATGCCGAGTTGTAAAATAAGTTTCAGGTGTTTTTTCCTCTTAACAGCATTTTCTAAGCTCAAAGGATCCTTGTCACTGAAATCAGACTTTCTTCAACTTCTCCTTCATAACTGGAATGAACCTATCTTAAGAGCAATACATTTGAGAATTTACATCAGATAACTTAGTTACAACTGTGTGTCCACAACCGTGGACATCCAATCTGTAGAAGGAAGGAACAGATTTGTGTTTTCGGGAAGGAGAGGGCACAGCTATGCCATTTCAGCTGCTGCTGAAGGAGACAGCTGGTGTATCACATCAGGACGCCATACTCCCATAAGGAGCACAGTATTACTGAGTGGGTAGGACTGCTGATTTCCCTGCAGCCGGGGATGGTGTCTCTCTCTCTTTTTTTTAATCCCTGGGCTAAGGTCTATGCCTGATGTAAACAGATGCTCCAGAAACATTCCATAAACCAACTAAGAAGGAGAAAGCCTAGTCAGACTCCGACTCAAAGTAGGAGCCATCTTTTTAATATTCTTGACTTGTCACTTTGCCTTAAATTGAACAGATTCCGTGACAAGGAACTCTGTTCTTCACGAACTGAACCGTGACAATGTGGGACAGCTCCAGTCAGGGTTCTGTGCCCTGCACAGTTCAGGGGCTGTGGTCTAGCTTGTGGCCCATGGGAATTGGGTCCCACGGACTTGTGCAGCACAACAGTCCTGGCTCCACTGGTCCTTTTCTATGTTGACCCCAAATCTGCCTTCATCTAACTTCTGTTGGTCTTAGTTCTGCCCAGTGACAACAGTGGGATACTTCCAGGGTGAAACCCTTTACTATGTTAAGATTAAGTGAATTCTAATGTTATTAAATAGCATTATTTTCCTTGGCGGTCTAGCTTTTGATGATTTTAAAGACTTGTGCATAAATAAACCAAAGGAATTAAGCAGCCATACTGCTAATTTGCTAGCTCAGTGTCTGTTAGATAGGAAAGTGTTGGTTTTTTACAAAATTTTCCCCAGATAAATTTCAGACACAATTTATTGAGTGCCTAGATTGTACCAGGTAATATAATAGGTGCTTTCACATATTTATTTTATTCCTCCAAACAACCCTGTCAGGTAAGAATCATATCCCCATTTTCAAGGTGAGGAAACTTGGGCACCTGGGTGGCTCAGTCTGTTAAGCGTCTGCCTTCAGCTCAGGTCATGATCCCAGGGTCCTGGAATTGAGCCCTGTGTCGGGCTCCTGCTCAGTGGAGCCTGCTTCGCCTCTCTCTGCTGCTTGTGCGCACTCTCTTTCTGTCAAATAAATAAATATAATCTTTTAAAAAAATAAGATAAAGTTGAGGAAACTGACGCTCAGAGTGCAAGAAGCTTCCTTGCCTGGGGTCACCTAGGTAGTAGCCCTCAGAGACCGAAACCCAATCCTGATTCCTGTGTCACCAAGTCCTTTGCTCTTCCCACCACAGAGCATGGCCTCTAGATTAATGTTGCCATCTCAGGAACATCCCAGGTAGTCTATGAATGACCATCGTATTTCCTTGGCTTTTTCCTTCTGGCTTTGGTTTCCATTAGAGTCTCTTCATTTGAAGCTCTGTAGGCCAAGAGGCTAGAGCAGATGGCCAGTGCAGATGGTGCACTTGAACACTAGGGGGTGTCGAGAGGAGGTTAAAGGCGTTCTTCCTTGGCTGCTGTGAACTACTTGCTTCAAGCACAGGAGGTTGAGGGGGCCACAGTTCCGCTTCGTTAACAGACATCCTGCAATTTTTCTTGCTCTTGCTGTTTTTTTTTTTTTTTTTTTTAAGATTTATTCTATTGAGAGAGAGAGAGAGAAGGGGGAGGGGTGGAGGGAGAGAATCTCAAGCTGACTCCCCGCTGAGTGGGGAGCCTGTTGCAGGGCTCCATCCCAAGATCGGAAGATTATGACCTGAGCTGAAATCAAGAGTTGGATGCTTACCTGACTGAGCCACCCAGGCGCCACTGTTGCTGTTTGTTTTTTAAATGGATTGGCAAAGACTCCTTATTGCTTGGGAGTGGCTTCCCAGCCACTGGCCTCTGAGCTCAGACTTGACAATGAATGTAAGAAATAAAAGGGAGAGACCTGCTCTCTGATTTGCTCTTGTTCTCCAGTGGTTTGGTTAACTCAGGGCAAAGCTGAATATCAGGGTGTATTGCACCAAAGTGTAATGATCCAGTCAGTAAATGTTATAGTTATCCTCAGTCTAAAGAAATATGTCATTTACCTCCTTTTTGAATAAAATACTTGGAAAATACATTTGGTGGTAAACCTCTTTATCCTTAAGGGCATCTACATACAGGAGAGCTTGATGATAAAAACAGGCCACTGCTGATAAAAGACTACAACTAAACAGGAGAGCATCAGGGGCCTCCAGAGTGTTAATAGTATTCAGCTCAAAATTACAGTAAGGGCACAGTACAGGTTTAGTTTAGTAAATTTGAAGGGCAAATTGACTCCAACAGGAAGCCCCTGCTAAACCAAGCCCACTTCAATACTGTGATGGGTCTTGGGGGTTTCCTCTAGGGTCAGAGATTCTTAAACATTTTTGGTATTTGAATCACTTTAGCTGTTTGCTGAGCTAGCAAGTTCTGGCCCATCCTAAAGGAGTCAGGTTCTGTAGCTCTAGAGGGGTGCCTAGAAATGAGCATTTTCAGCAAGCACCTCAAATGATTCTGATATCCTGATACTCAGAACCACGTATGACTTTCATGGCTCCAGAGACTTTTGCCTTCACGGGTCCCTTACTCCATAAAAAGTAAAAAAGTATTAACAATTACATTTTGCAACTGCATTGATACAAGCATGAATGCAATGAAAGCTGGATTATATGTTTTTTTTATTATTATTATTTCAAAAGAAACTAAAACATTTTGGGGCCCCCGAAAAGCTCATGGGCCCCAGCCACTGTACCAACTGGATAGGTCAGCCTTGCTGATACCTGGATATGTTAGGTGCAATGCTGAGCCATATTCTTAATAGAAATTTTGTTTGTAGTTCTTATATTCTCAGTGTGAGCTGAGCTGGAACCCACTGCCCCACCCAGAAGTGGCCCAGTCCTGGAAGCAGGGGAGAATGAGCCTGTATTCTTTAATGCCTCTGGCTTCTGCAGGGTCAAAGTATTTATCTAATAATTTCACTCACACAGGCACGCTTATCTGAGAAGTGCAGAATGAAATGGGACCCAGCTCCCTGAATGCCTGATGGTCTCCCCCTTTTACTATCTTTCCTCACTGCCATAATCCCCTTCACAGATAGCCAAGGTCTCCATCTTGATAAAATCAGGAAATTATCTCCCATCACCCATTTACATTTAGAAATCCCTTCATACCAATGTCTTAACTCTCTTCCCGGGTCTCTGCATGTCAAAGACTGTTACCTCCAACTGAATTAAATGCTTTGTTTCAGAATGTCCTTCAAACTTTTGTGGCCCCAAACTTTTGTGACCCCACCTACATGAGGACATGAAGAAATACATTTTATATCAGGCCCAGTACACACACAAATATAACTGAAAAGTTCTATGAAATAATACTTATCCTAAAAAAAAATACTTTTCCTGGAAAATTTCATGAAATAATACTTATCCTAAAAAAAAATACTTTTCCTGGAAAATTTCATGAAATAATACTTACACTTACTAATGAATTCACTGAAATCACCTATTCTACTTCACTTTTTAAAAATGCTGGTCTTACCCACTATATTGATTTTATGACTTACTAATGGGTCAACCTACAATTTGAAAAACAGTAGTCAAAGGAGTAGCATATATAAAAAATATCTGAAGAAAAAGATATGTCTATTTCTGCAATAAAGATCTACCTACTAAGGGGACCAGGCACCTTGGCCACAACAACCTCTACCCCAATGTACTTGATGGAGCGTTGCGAACAAGTTCTTCCTTTTATAATCCACTCAGCCAAATATTTAACAAGCCCCTACCATATGCTGGAACTCTGATCAAGGCTCTGCGAACACAATAATAATCAAAGCAAAGTCCATACCCCCATGGAGTGACATTCTGGTTGGGGTAGATAGGAACAATAATCAAATAAATAGGTAAATCAAATAAATAGGTATATTGTGGTCAACTGGCAGTAAGTGCTACAGACAGATTTCTTCCAGACCCTTCTTTTCCTGGGCATGTTCATATAACACCTCTCTCGCTGCTAGAAGGCATATATTTTCTTTGGATGTACTGATACCCTGAGTCTGAAGACTGACAAGGATGGAGTCAGTAGTCAATTCATCTTAAAAGATTACTTTTCTTACCTTTTGTTATGTATTTGTTTCACAAATGGTTACTCAGAGATCCATATGCTTTTCTAATTTTAAATTCTTACTTAGACAGTAATGGTAATAATTATCCCCAGATCTTCTTGCAAATGTAATGAGAGTAGGCTCAATTTCACTAGACCAAACCTTTAGTCCGTTGCAGGAGCCTGTAACATCCGGTGCTTTTCCTTCCCAGGACCAGTGTTCCTAGATGTCCCAGTTCCTTCCATAAGGAGACCTTATACTGGACCCCCACCTACTTTTTTCCTGACTGGTATCCTGCTCTGGATGACAGAATTCTGTGGGTGTCACAAGTGTAATCAGTCACTTCAGCTCAAGGCTAGAATCCACCCAATGGATACATTAGGCCAAGGGTTGGCAAACTTTCTCTATAAGGGGATAGATAGTATTTCCAGCTTTGCAGGCCACACTGTCAGGCCGACCTCTGCTTGAGACTGCTGAAGAGATTACTTTCTGTTGAGAACACCTGGGGCTTACATTTGAGATAGGCTGAAAGGATCAGATGGGAGAGGAAAAGCAAAGTCACTGAAGAAAGAAGGCCTAACAACTAAGAAAGAGCCAGTTTGGCCAAAGAGTAATGTTCATGAATGAAGGTAGCAAGGAACTGAAACACATTTAGGTAAGAACAAGTGCATTTACAAGCATGTGCAAATTAACTTTTTGCTCTGCCATCTTTTATTTAATAATCATACTACTCAAAAAATATTTTTAAAGTATTATTTTAAAAGTCATTTCCTTAGAACCACAAACTTCGTCCTTGTATCAGAAGTTGTGCCACTATCCTGGTTACTTGTGGATTCACCAAGCAGTCTAGCAAGTCATCTGTAGAAATGAATGTTTGAGAAGGAGCCATACTACTATTTGAAGAGATTTGTTCCACAATTGCATCCTCACTTTTACTCATCATTCGTTGCCTCTTGGTACAATGCAATTTTCCAGAGTGTTCTCCATCTTCGCCAACAAAGTCTTTACCATCACCTTCAAATATGCCTCCTCTCTCTGAGGGTAGTTCTTCAGAACCCAGTATTACAGGAACCAGATCAGGGCCAAAGGGACTCGCTGCCTCCTGTTTTCCCATTCCCAAGAGTAAGTCCTGGCCACCTGTTGGTCCCACCTCCATGTGATTGTGCACATCTGATCCCTCCTTTTTCATGTCCTCTCTCTTTGTTCTCAGTGCTTGGATTTCTACTACCTTAGATGTTCTGTAATGATCAAAAAGGGCAGAAACGGCTCTATTTAAGTAGCGACAATTGACTTCATGGGATGTTTCCTCAACCTAAGGAGAAAGAAAAACTCTTTAGAATGGATATATGCACTTATATAAGTTAGAAAACGAATGTTCCAGCCAGGGTTGATTGATCACAGGAAACTAACTGCCATGATGCACACCAGAAGTGGCCTACCTCAGTTGGGTTTAACCAAGCTCTGGTATTGTGTGGATCCTCTGCAGTCTTCAGGGCACACACAAGCATGCGTGTGATTGCCTCTTCTACCCGGGCTTGGTGGTCCTCTTCCTGAGTCAAGATTAAAAAAGCACATTGTTTTCATTTGTCACTATGTCTCATGGCTTAAAACAGAGTAGAGTCTCTATCAATTGTGTGTCCTGTTCTCTTATTAATACAAGCTTTGTTAGAGAAGGAATGAATATATTGTTGGAAGACCACAACTTTTACATATTCACTCTCACCTCTCATCTAGAAGAGATGAATATTTCACCGACCACATTTAAATTTTATCCTGTCTGTAAGACATAGGCCTTAAGTATGAGCTACCTTGTGGTGTTTCTTCCAATCTTTTCCATTTGTTGACATGTTTAAAATGTTTTTTAAAAAGCACAACATACAGAGGAATAATACCTATAGAATTTGATAAGCTAATTTAGGAATGGAAGAAAAATTATAATAAACATGCTTGGCCAAAAGAATGAAATGGCTAAAAATCCAAATATGTTTTTTTAAAGATACAATAAGCATAAACTAGAGCATTAATAATAAATTACATGAAAATCAACTTCTGTTCATCAAAAGGCAACAAAAGGAAAAAACCCAACCAGAATTTTGTAACACATAAAACTGATACAAGGTTAATATCCAGGATATAGAAAGAATCTACACACATCAGTAAGACAAACAATCCAATTTTTTAAAATGGGCAAAAGACATGAAGACATGCATTTCAAAAAAACAGCAATCACATGACTAATAAATATGAAATTATGCTTAACCTTATAAATAATCAGGGAACTGCAAATCGAGAAACTGATGAAATTGGCAAAAGAGAGACTGATAATTCCAAGTGGTAGAGAAATGTGCATTGACAGACTCACTGATGGTGGGAGTGCAAACTGGTACAGCCATTTGGAAAACATGTTGGCGTTATCTTGTAAACTTGAGTATTGTACATCCTACAGACCAGCAATTCTACTCCCAGAGAAATACATATTCTTTAGAGAAACTCTTGCACTTGTGTATAAGAATATTCTATTTATAAAAGCAAAAAATTGGAGGGCGACTGGGTGGCTCAGATGGTTGGGCGTCTGCCTTCGGCTCAGGTCATGATCCCGGAGTCCTGGGATCGAGTCCCGCATCGGGCTCCCTGCTCCTTGGGAGCCTGCTTCTCTCTCTCTCTCTCTCTCTGTCTCTCATGAATAAATAAATAAAATCTTTAAAAAAAAAAAAAAGCAAAAAATTGGAAACAACTCAATCATCCATCAACAAAGAACCAATAAATTGGGGTACATTAATACAAGAGAATATCATACCACAGTGAAAATGAATGAAATCCCCATGATAAGACACCACTTCACACCAGTATGGCTCTCATAAAAAAAAGACAGATAATAAAAGTGTTGGTGAGGATGTGGAGAAGTCAGAATATTCACACATTGCTGGTGAGAATGTAAATGGCTTTGGAAACAGCCTGGCAATTCTTCAAAAGGCTAAACACAGAGTTGCCATATGTGATGGTTAATTTTATTAGTTAACTTGGTTAGGTTAGTTGTTTGGTCAAACCCTAGTCTAAATGTTGCTGTGAAAACACTTTGTAGATGTGATTAACCTTTACAATCAGTTGACTTTAAGTAAAGGAGATTATCCTCAATGATGTAGGTGGACCTCAGGTGAAGGCCTTAAAAGCAAAAATGAAGGTTTCCTACAGAAGAAGGGATTCTACCTCAAGATTCTAATAAAGTCCTGAGTGAGTGGGTTTCTAGTCTGCCAGGCATCCTACAGATTTGACTCCACACTGCAACTTCAACTCTTGTCTGAGTTTCCAGCCTACTGGCCTGTCTTTATGATCCATTATTATACCATAGGATCCAGAAATTCCACTCCTAGATGAACACGCAAGAAAATGAAAACATATGTTCACATAAAAACTTGTACATGAATGTTAATAATAGCATTATTCATAATTGCAAAAAGTAGACACAACCCACATGTCCGGCTGATGAGTAGATAAACAAAATGTGGTATAGCCATTCAATGGAATATTATTCAGCCCTAAAAAGGAATCAAGTACTGATATATGCTACAGTAGATGAATCCTGAAAACATATAATGCTGAGTGAAGGATGCTGGCCACATAGTCTATGATTCTAGAACTGGCAAATCTATAGAGACAGAAAATAGGTTGGTGATTGTCTATGGCTACAGAGGAAAACGGGGGAGGAACTACTCATATATAAGGGTTTTTTTTTTAGGTTGATGAAAATGTTCTAAAATTGATTATAGTATGATTGCATAATTCCTGAATATACATATAATTTCTGAACTGTACACTTTATTGTTTTTCCACAGAGTATTCAAATGCATTTATTTGGGATCTTAAAATAGTTCTCGTCCATTTGCTTCTTAACAGGCTTTTAAAAAGCTGCATCTGTTTAAAGCTAGTAAAATTTTAAAGAAGTAAAATTCCTAGAAGCTCTCAAAACCTCTAAGAAATTTTTTTTAATTGAAGTATAATCAACGCACAATGTCACATCTGTTTCAGGTGTATGACATCAGGATTCAACAGCTCTATACACTATGCTGTGCTCACAAGCTTAGCTCCCATCTGTCACCACACAACATTCCTGCAATACCACTGACTATATTCCCTCTGCTGTACCTTTCATCCCTGTGACTTAATCATTCCATAACCGGAAGGCTGTACCTCCCACTCCCCTTCATCCAGAAAGGAGTGGGGGGGGGGAATGAGCAAAATTATACTACTACAAATATGTTACATATACATTATTTTATAGGTATAAATAAAATGAAAGACATAATAATGGAAAAATTACTAGAGCAAGAGGAAAGCCTTTAAAAATTAACAGAAAAAATTTTTTTAAAGATTTTATTTATTTATTTGACAGAGAGAGACAGCGAGAGCAGGAACACAAGTGGGGGGAGTAGGAGAGGGAGAAGCAGGCTTCCCCCTGAGCAGGGAGCCCAATGTGGGACTCGATCCCAGGACCCTGGGATCATGACCTGAGCCGAAGGCAGATGCTTAACGACTGAGCCACCCAGGCGCCCAACAAAAAAATTTTTTTAAGTTTGGAAAAAATACCAATAAAATAAACATATTTCAGCACTAAAAGAATAAGGAGAAATACTAAAAGAAAAAGATTTAAAAAGGCACAATTGAGAAGAATTGAGAATATACTTTATTCTTTTTTTTTTTAAAGATTTTATTTATTTATTTGAGAGAGAGAATGAGAGACAGAGAGCACGAGAGGGAAGAGGGTCAGAGGGAGAAGCAGACTCCCTGCCGAGCAGGGAGCCCGATGCGGGACTCGATCCCGGGACTCCAGGACCATGACCTGAGCCGAAGGCAGTCGCTTAACCAACTGAGCCACCCAGGAGCCCGAGAATATACTTTATTCTCTGGAATATGTTAAAATAGAATCTGCACCACTTTAACAGAGAAGAGATGAATATTGTACCACCTGAACAGAACTAGAATTTCTACTTTTTCCCCAAATCTATGTGACTTGTGACAAGAATATCAGAGTCAGGATTTACACTGAGTTACTGTATTGAATATGGTAGGTTTCATTTTTATTTTTTTTTAAGATTTTATTTATTTGACAGAGAGAGAGAGACAGCGAGAGAGGGAACACAAGCAGGCGGAGTGGGAGAGGGAGAAGCAGGCTTCCCGCGGAGCAGGGAGCCCGATGCAGGGCTCGATCCCAGGACCCTGGGACCATGACCTAAGCCGAAGGCAGATGCTTAATGACTGAGCCACCCAGGTGCCCCGAATATGGTAGGTTTTAAAACTTAAGGGGTTTTGGAGTTACATTTGGCAACAAGAAAAAATTATGGTTCAGTGCTTGCAGAGACAAGGATAAAAGCAACACATGACAGGGAAGATAAAATTACTCAGCTCCTAGTCTGCGTTCCAGTTTTTCAAGGAAGAACGAATGGTCTTTAACCTGTGACGTATGTGGAAGTTAAAGAAGGAACAAGAGTCCTGGTTTGGAGAAGGACAGAAATCATCCATTTTAAGTCAGCATCAAGTCCTTAGGTACCAAATTTGTAAGTACTACCTCATAACTTGTTTTTACTCAATGACAGCAATCCTTTGGAAAATTCTGTGAGAGACAGCTGAAAAAAATGGCATAAAACAAGCTTCTAAAAAGACCATAGTGAAGGCTTTCAGACTCTTGAGGCCAGGTAAATTAAAATCTAAATAAAATATGAACCAGTGGTATTCTACAGTACACTAAGAAATAATACATCACAACCAAGTGGGATTTGTTTCAGAAATTAAGGATGGTTCAATCAATACTAGGAAATCCATTGATTTAAGTTACTCAAATACCAGACATTTACTAAAGAGGAATATTATATATGATCATTTCCATCAATGCTTAAAAGGCATTCAATAAAATTTAACACCTTTTCTGGATAAAAAAAAAAACAACAAACCCAAAAAACAAAAAAAGTAATGAATTGACAGATACTTAACATGATAAAATACACAAATCCAGCATTTTACTTCAAGAAAAATCACTAGAGGGCGCCCGGGTGGCTCAGTCAGTTAAGCGGCTGCCTTTGGCTCAGGTCATGATCCCAGGGTCCTGCGACTGAGCCCCATGTCGGGCTCCCTGCTCAGCGCAGAGCCTGCTTCTCCTTCTCCCTCTGCCTGCCACTCTGCCTATTTGTGCTCTCTATCTCTCTGTCAAATAAATAAATAAAATCTTAAAAAAAAAAGAAAAATCACTAGAGATTTCTCTCTAAAATCAGAAAAAGCCAAGGATGCCCACTATCTCCATTATTATTTATTATTGATCTAGAGGTATTAGCCAATGTAATTAGACAAAGGAAAATAAGACACAGGAAAACAAATTGGAAAGGAAGAGGTAAAAGTATCTTAATTTTCAGATAATCTGAGAGAAATCTGAAAACCCAAGAAAAGTCAATAAAAAAATCACCACACTCGAGAAAATAATTCAAATTAACACAAAAATCAATAGCCTTCATATATACAAACAATATCCACTCAGATGATATAATGGAAGAGAAGACCCACCTCACTTAACCATAGCAGCCAAAAAAGATGAAATGCCCAGGAATAAACCTTTAAAAGAAATGTGCAAATCCAATGTGAGGAAAACTTTAAAACACTCCTGGAACAAAGAACTAGACTTGGATGAAAAGAAAGGTATCTCATTGCTGGATGGGACAATTCAACACCATACAGCTCATATAAAATTTAATATAAATAGAATAAAAAATATCAATCTTTTTTTCCCCTGAAGCTAGACGAATTGATTCTAAAGATCATACCCAAAAAAAAAAAATTCAAGAAGAGTCAGGAAAAGAAAAGGTTTCTGGCCCTACAGATACTAAAAACATTCTATAAGACCTCTCTAAATAAAACAGGGTGGAAGTATTGAAAGAATGTGAAGAAAGGCCAGTGGAAGAAACAGACCCCAAGTACACATAGATATCTAGTATATGATTAAGGCAGTATTTCAAATCACCACAGAAAAGACAGACTTTAAAATAAATGATATCCCTGACAATTCTATTGTCATTGGGTAAAAATAAAAATAGATCTCAACCTTACACCATACACTAGTAAAAACCTCTAAATGGATGAGAGACCCAAACGTAAAAAAATGAAACAATCCAAACTAAAAGAAAACACTGGTGAATTCCTTTATGACCTGAAAGAGGGAAAGGTTTTTCTAGCTATGATTCAAAAATCAGAAGCTAAAAAGTTCAACAACACATCCTGGTGGTGAGGCTGTGGAGGAAAGAAGCACACTCATATGCTACTGATGGAAATGCAAAATGGCCCAATCACTGTGAAGTGGAATTTGGCAAAGCCTAACGAAATTAAAGCGAACTCACTTTTAAGACTTTCCCCAAAGACACTCTTCCAGCAAATACAGAACAACATATGCACAAGGTTATTCACTGGCATTATTTCTAATTACAAGAGATTAGAAATAACATCCATCCACATGGGAACCAGGGAACCAAGGATGGGGCACCTATATAGTGGGATACTACACAGCTGTTGGAAAGAAAGTGAAAATTTGTCTGTACTATTATTTGTCAAATTCAGAATAGTATTGTAATGTGAAGAAAGCAGGGTGCAGAACACTAGTTTCTTACTTTCTGTGTAAGAAAGGAGAGGAAATATGAATGACTATGTATGAATAAGCATATGAAGCAAATATATAAAAGTTTATATTCTTATTCACATATAAAGTCATACATAAATATATTTATTTACTTAATTATTTACATATATGTTTACAAAGAAGACACACTAGAATGACAAACTAAATGAATAAAACAGAGCCCTGTGGTGGGGTGGTAGGGGGTGGGGGGGTGGGGGAGAGGGATGGAGTGCAAGAGACAGAGATGAAAAGGAGACTTCTCTATAAAAGAGACTTTTAATATCATTTTAACAAGTTAAATGTTTTACATATTCAAAATATTAAATGAAGTCAAAATAGGAAAAAAAGTAAATCCTAATGCTGAAAACAAACCTACCTAAAATTAGTAACATACCCACAAGTGAAAAGAATCCCTTCACAACGATTTCTGAACACAGTACTTTGTAGCCCCTTAGCGGGATATAGTCTAATGATAAAAAGGATCACAAAGAAATCTTAAACTTTATTTGCAAGTTTATAATTAGTAATAATAATATTGGAATTCTGGAATTGTAAATTTGACATCTTAAAAAATATATGGGTGGGGCACCTGGGTGGCTCAGTCAGTTAAGTGTCCGACTCTTGATTTCGGCTCAGGTCATTATCTCAGGGTTGTGAGACTGAGCCCCGCATCAGGCTCTGCCCTGGGCATGGAGCCTGCTTAAGATTCTCTCTCTGCCCTCCCCTCCAAAATATATATTATTTATTTATAATATTTAACATTAATATTAATTGTTAATTAATATTAATAATTAAATAATAATTAATTTTAAAGAGAAATTTTATTTATTTAAAGAAAATAAATTTTTAAAAATAATTATTAATATTAATATTAAATATTTAAATATTTATATATATTGCTATATTTTCCTATATATACATATATAGGAGAATATAGCAAATAAGTAGATGTTACTGTTAGGATTGATCCTGATTTTCAGTGTAAGAGAAGAGATAAAAATAATAAAATAAATAAAAATAAAAATACAGAAACAAATAAGGAAAAAATCTATAATATTAACCTTGAATTAGAACTATAAATATATCCATATCTATCTATCTATCTATCTATCTCACATTCTAGCTTTATCATTTATAGGTCTGGAAACAGCAACACACCAATAGCAATGAACAACAGCCTTAGAGCCCCAATCTCAGTTTCTAAATACCCTTCCCCACTAAAAGGAACCATGACCACCTGCAGAAATTATCAACCTCCAAGTTGGAAGCAGGGAAAGTCCAAGGCAATCCTGGGGTATCATCTTGTACTAGAAAGCAAGGATACATTCCAAGACAAATGAGGACATATCAAAAGGGCACACGCCCGCTTGAAGGACTTTACTAAAAACACAGAAGAGAATCAAATTCAAAATGACCTTGGTAAGCTGGAATGCTCACCCCAATGAACATGATGAAAGCCAAGAGAGGGGACTGTGAAGTGTGGGATGTGGGTTTAAAGGACCAGCTTTACAGCTTCACAATGGAGGGCAACCTGACACGGCAGCTGACCATGTGGAAAAAAGCAAGGATATTCTCGAGATGAGTATAAACCAAAGCAAGATAAGATTCCTAAAAAAGCTAATGCAATATTCTAAGCAGCACTGAAGAAATTGAGGATCTAAATCATGTGAGCTAGAAACCTGATATTCCATGAACTGAGGCCTCCTGGTATTTATACATTAAGAGGGCTACTCTTTTTTTTTGATGTAGTGTTCCATGATTCATTATTTGAGTATAACACCCAGTGCTCCCTTCAGTACGTGCCCTCTTTAATACCCATCACCAGGCTAACCCATCCCCTACCCCCCTCCCCTCCCCTCTAAAACCCTCAGTTTGTTTCTCAGAGTCCACAGTCTTTCATGGTTCGTCTCCCCCTCCGAGTTCCCCCCCTTCATTTTTCCCTTCCTACTATCTTTTTTTTTTTTTTTAACATATAATGTATTATTTGTTTCAGAGGTACAGATCTGTGATTCATCAGTCTTACACAATTCACAGCGCTCACCATAGCACATACCCTCCCCAATGACTATCACCCAGCCACCCCATCCCTCCCACCCCCCACCACTCCAGCAACTCTCAGTTTGTTTCCTGAGATTAAGAATTCCTCATATCAGTGAGATCATATGATACAAGAGGGCTACTCCTGACATAATAGTTCTTCCTCCTCAGAGCAGTTTCTGCCTTTAAACACTTCTCATGTACCAGGCACTAGATGAGATGCCACTGAAGTGGGTGCAGTTATAATCCCTATTCTGCAAGTGAGGAGACTTAGGCTTGATGAGATGAACTGACCATCCAGGTTTGACAGCTAACAAAGGCACAGACCTATAACTTAAACCTACATAGTTCCAAAGTCTATGATCAAAATGGTGAAGAGTCTGAAAAAAAAAAGTCATATAAAAAAACGTAGATGTTACTGTTAGGATTGATCCTGATTTTCAG